GCTGTGCCCAAAGCTGAAGGCAGCTGCTTTGATGAATTGCTTGCTATGCTGTCTCATAAGTCAGTGCCTTAGAAGACTGAGTTGTGATGAAGTTACAGATTCCAAGGCAGCAATATTTCACAAGATATTGACAGCTCACTGTGTTTAGCTGTGTTAGCATTACCCATTAGTGTTTTGTCACCCAGAAAAAGTTTGTATACTGCACTTCCCAGGCAGCAAGAGGATAGCAGGCCACTGTTGGACCACTGACTGCAAATTTGGCTTTTTGACCAGTCCAGTTTACTTATTTTTCCTTCATTTCCTTAACGAACGCTTACTTGAGGGGTGTCTGCATAACACATTCATAACATCTCACATAAACTCTTCATAACATGTTTATGAATGCTTAAATCAACATTCATGAAGCATGCATGTTTTACATAACATTAATATGGACTACTGTGCTATTTTACAAAATAAAAGTGCAAAAATGAGGCTGAAAATAGTATCTGTTTTTTAAAAAAATGAGGACATTTATTGTGGAAAAAAATGTATCTAAGTAAAATGACATAGAGAGACCAATATAATACTTGCTTTCTGGGTGTTTACAGCCAAAGTGTGGTGTTTTATATAAAACTCAACATTCACATCACAGACGGAAGCTCAACACATTTCACTGGGTGTATGGGCTAGGACACCTAGCATTAGCATACTTTGAATGTTAGCTTACATGAGCTAAATTAGCTAACTGACACATAACAACAGACACAATTAAGAGATGTTATGCTGCTTGTTTTAAACTGACAAAATAAATGAAAATGCTTAAAGAAAACAGTAGCTGTTTAGGTAAGAATATATTAAAGTTAGCTTAGCCAACTAGCTAAAGCAGAGTAAAAAAAACAGGCCTTTTTCAAACACTGTAATAGCTCAAATTAGCTAAGTTGAATTAGACATAAACTACAGTAAAGGTAACATAATTTCATTACATTAAAAACAATGCTAAATGCTACTTTCCACTTCAGCCTACGACAAAACGATGACAAATAGTGGGTAACAGTACAATAAGTGTTGACTAGCTAATATTAAGTGATGCACTTGGTACTACATTAATATAGTTAGCTCATATTAAGTAAACAATTCACAACTGCATTAGTTAATGTTTCCACATTAAATGTTAAGTGATGACTTAGATTAATTAGTGTATTTTGTAACATGAAAACACATGAAATAATAATGGTTAATAATGATTAGATAATAATAAGTAAACAAATAACAATTGTATTCATTCACATTAATAGGAACAGTTTGTTACTAGAAACCCACAAACATGAGTATTTTCTCAGTTAAAAAATGATGATAACCATTGTAATATCTTAGTTTAAAAGTTTATGGTCCTTTTCTTTATAACAAGCATGAAAAACCACTAGCAGTATGCTGATGTCTCAGTCGCTAGCTAGCTAAACCTCCCATTCCACCTTAAATCATGCAGCAGTTACATTCTGGCACCTCAAGCATCAAAACTGCTGCTCCGTTTAAGGTGGAATGGGGACATTCAAACAAGAAGCTGGTGAATATCTGACTTCAACTTCACATCACCGAAGAATTAGGGGTGGGTGATAATAAATAATTATCACATCCCCCATTTTTTGAAGGCATATGACGCCCTAAATGTAACTAAAGTCCAGCAGCGAGGTTGCTGAACTTTGCTCAAGTGGCTAATGAAGGTGGGAATGGATCAGAAGGACTGGATGAAAAAAAAATCTTCAGTCTGGTTGATCACATTGTGAAAAACAACAGTGTCATTCCTTGGTTTGACTGGTTTAAGAGAAAAACCAATAGAGTATGGAGTGGACATGGTGGACAAATCAGCAACACCTGATTTGTTTTTGGAACTGAACCATGCCTTTTTAACTGCAAATACATTGTTTATACAAGGGGTTTCCAACATTTTGCAACTTGCGGCCCACACATATGACCATTTTAGATGGTCCAGATGGTTTAGATGGTTTAGATCTGTCCCTTTGAAAGACTCTTTTAACCATTTATCCATGATGGATGAGTTACATATGATTTAATAGTTAAATATTTTACATTGACCTGCTATGAAAATAAAAATAAAACTAGCTCAAAAAATCACCAATTTTTGTCATATTTAAAATAACGTTTGGTTAAATATCTGCATTGTAACACATTTTTGTGGTCAAAACCACTAGCAGCATGTTGAAATGTACAGCAGTACACTACAGGCAAATCTATCAGTGTGCTACAGCTTTACTGATGCTTTAAGCTATAGCAACCAGCTGGCTAACTGGCAAACAGAGTGGCCAGAGGCAGGCCATGAAATGCCCTCATAATCAGTTTACTTCATTGAGGTCAGAGTAACTGTTTAAAGAATATAACTATTTTAAGACTGTGTCAGTTCTATAATTCATATAGAATTGTTTGTGGATACTTTATGGACTATAACTCCCGCTACCCTGTCATAAGTCCTGCATCAAAGCTGTCCAGCTGAGTTTTGCCCAGCAGCTGCAGCACGATTCTCATGCATTCTTCAAAAGCCAGGCTGAAGGCAGGACAAGAGGGCTTTTTCAGGCTAGTGTGCTTTCTGGTGATATTTATGCCTTTTCCAAGTGCATAAATTTCAGAGCCACTTAAACTCAGAGCTTTCACCTAGTTTGGCAGTTTGCGCTTCAGACCGTTTGGTCATTTGGGTGTTGTCAGTGGATGTTAAGCAAACTTCTCTTTAAGTGTCTGAATCATCCACTGGTGGTGCTGTGAATGTTCACACCTATCAGTGATGCTCTCGTTGTTATGTGCTGAAGTGTTCTTCTAAGGATACAGACTGGTCAGGATGAGGAAACTGCCTGCAAAAAACTAATAAAAAAAGCCATGAAAAAATGTTTTTTTTCTTTGTCAGCGTGATCTTAGACTGAAAACCTGAGAGCAACCTTTTGGTCACACATTATTCTGAGCATACACACATATACAGAGCATCACACACTATCTGGTGAAAGTAGAGATGCAAAGTTAAGCTAATTCCTTTGAGCAAAAATTGATAGTTATAAGTTGGTGATTAATAGTTAACTGACAACACGTTAGTGGTTAGGTTTGGGATCGGGTTTAGATTTTTGGTTAAGATTAAAGCTTTAGGGCAGAGGTCAGCAACCCAAATGTTAAGAAGAGCCATTCTGTCCTTTCAACAAAAATCAAACCACCTTGGGAGCCACAACATTTTATATCCATTTTACCATCTTGGCTGTAAATATGTCTCAGTAAGTGCTAATGTACTAGTAAAGGCTACAAATAGACTTACTTTGCTCTGCTTTAAGCTTTAGCTCAGCTATAGGTGCTTTTCTTGCATCTCCAGCAGGAAACTTTTCCACAAAAGTAGAACAGTTTCTTGTAAAATGTCTCTCAATGTTTGATTTTTTAAGAGACTGAAGTCGTTCACCAGCATCTTGTTTGAATTTTCCCGTTCCACCTTAAAAGGTGGTGCCAGAATGTAACTGTTGTACTATTTAAGGTGGAACGGGACAATTTGAACAAGAAGCTGGAGAATGAGTACCTGACTTCAGCTTTGCAACTTTTTAGTGTTTGACAGTTGCAGATCAAACATATCGGGAAACCAGCTGGAGTGATTATAAATGCAAATAAGTCTATTCGTCTCCAAATTATCAATGTTCATCTTAAAAAGTTGCATGCCGCATGTTGCCGACCCCTGGTTTAGGGTTAGCTATAGCAAAGTCTATTACATTCAACGTCATGTTTAGTTGCATTCATCTATAGATTATTTACAGTAGACTCTCAAAATAAAGTGTTACCCATTCCTCTGTACAAAATCTCTCCAGATCCCTCACTGGAGTCTCCTTTTTAGCTTACCCCACAGATCTTCAGCAGGGTTTAGATGAGGGAACTCAGACAACCATTGCAAAAGCTTAATTCTGTGGTCAGTGAACCATGTCTGTGAGAGTCTTTGACCTGCTGGAAGTCCCAACCTTAACATAGGCCTAGCATCCTGATACAGGCAGTCAGATTATGGTCTAAAATCACCTGGTATCTGATGGAGACCAGAATACAATGTCTCCCAACAGCATTCCAAGGAACTCCCAAAAACCTCACAGCTTCATAGATCCACCACCATACTTCACCACTATGGGAATAGGCTGTTTTATACATGACCAAACATCTGATGTTTATTACCACAATGTCAACTGATATTAGAATTACCAACAATCTTAATGAACTTCAGCACTTCCTTTTGTAATCTCTGAAGAAAGTTTTACCTCTCGAATGATCCTCCTGACTGTGATTGAGGGCAAGATACACTTCAGTTGCCTTCAATGCAGATTCATTATTAGCTCTGTTTTAAACATAACAAGTGCCCTAATAACGGAGATGAGCAGGTGTTTCTAATGCCCAGTGATTAATACAGGTGAACATCCTTTTGTCTCTTGTTGTGTGTGTTTTTTCTCTGAACTTCCCCGTGTTGATGGATGACTGGATGACATAAGAATGTGTGCTGTCTGCATCATGACATATTAAATCCCCCGTGAGATAGGAAGTCATGAATGACCATTTAAGAGTTTCTAAAGGCTTAGATGTGCTTAAAAAAGGTAAAATATAAATGAAGAATTACATGTGTAATTAGGAGTTTCTAGAGATGTCAGTGTGTTTTTGACAAGGAAGTTTTTTCTTTGTTTTTTGAACAATTTTACTTCAATGTAAGGTTTAATTCATCTCACGCTGACCTCTCACTTTAATGTAAGGGAGTAAAGACACTTTGCTCATCTTTATGAACTGTAATAATTCTACAGATTTATAGCATTTATTCAAACCTTCAGTTAAGCTCTTCATTGTACGCTGCATCTTCCTTGGTGAATTCCATTGGCAACAGAATATTATTGACAATTTTGACCCACAAGGTCTCTGTTTGTGAGCACTGTCAGAGTCTTGCCCTTGGTGTGTCCCTTCACCATGTTTGCGAGAGCTGATTGAGGACTGGGACAGGAAGGGTCAGGTTTGGAGAAACAGGAAACTGATGAAAGGAAGCGATGTACGTCACGCAGGCTCACTGCTGCTGGTAAAAGTGATCCAGTTTCTATGTGCAAATGGAGTTCTTCCTCAATTCACCGATGAAACTCGTACTTTTGGCAGGTAGGACACCTTTCATGTTGACTCCGTCAGTCCTCAGTGCTTTTCAGTGGAACTGTAGATGCTGGTTGATGGTTTTCAATGTCCTGTAGATTCATTTTATTGTCCTGCAGTTAGAATTTCAATCTTTCTGTATATTTAGAACTACTTTTTTGGTATGATGGTGAAAAATACAGCTCAAATCTGTGGCGTTCTGTATTACATTCTTAAAAAAATAAAGAGTCCTTGCAAAAAAATAGAAGAACCACTTTTGGTCCTTGCACAAAAATAGAAGAACCTCTCTTTTTGGTAGATATATTGTTTAAAGAACCTCTACATAATGTAAAGGTTGTACACTCTTTAAAAAAGATGGTTTATAAATGGTTCTTTTGTAAAGGGAATGATCCTATTTAGAACCATGAGTTTTCTAAACACTTGAAAAAGTTGGTTCTTTTCGGGGTTCTTTTATTAAAGAAAATGGTTCATGTAAAACCATGAACACTCAAAGAACCTTTTGCATGGTAAAATGGCTCTTCACACGGACAGAGAATGTGTTGTATATGGTTCTATGTAGAACTTTTTTGAAATGAGGAATTATAGCACCAAAAAGGGTTCTTCTATTGTTACAATGCCAAGCTTGTAACAATAGAAGAACAATTTTGGGTGCTATATAGAACCATTTTGAAAAAAAGGTTCTATATAGAACCATCCCCAATACATTCTTCATCAATCTGAAGGACCATCTTTTTAAGAGTGTAGGAAGAACCCATAATTTGCTATATAGGTTCTGAAAAGGGTTGCCACAAAAGAACCACTTTCGGTTCATTAATGAACTTCTCAGCGGACGGTTCTTTAGAGAACCATTTTAGTAAAGGAGATGTGTGAGTGTGAGGGATCTTAAAGTTTTAAGAACCACTACATAATGTAAAGGTTCTAAGTACCCTTACTTTATGTGAAGGTTCTTTACACTCACACATTTCATTTACACAAATAGTTCTTTAGGAAACCAAAATGGTTCTTCTATGGTGTTGCTTGAAGAACCCTTTGTGGCACTTTTTTAAAAATATTGCAGAACTTTTATGTTATGTGAAAGTTTTTCAAAACTTTAAAAGGTTTTTTACAGAACCAAAAGGGTTTTTTCTGTGGCATCTCTCAGAGAACCCGTTGCTTTTTTAAAAGATTATGTTCCCTGCCACATGTAAGTGTTTTCAACGTTCTAAGTATTTACATATTGAGAATAGTAGAATATGAAAGAAATATATTTGTTTTCCGATTTTCTTTCTTTTTGAAAAGTGTGGCTGTCGACTGTGCTGGATCCATGCAAATTTTCTGACATTTGCAAGTCCTGTCACCGGCACGCAAGCTGTCGGTCACTAAATGACTCCAAAAATCATGGATGTTTCTGCAATCAAGGATATTCTGGAGATGGAATCAAGGACTGCAATGGTACGTGTGACTGCAGTTCAGCAGGGGTCTGATATTGTCATAAACTTAAAGCATTCTAAAGTAAGAAAAAACATTTTGTGTTACCAGATCGGGGTGGTGAATGTTGATGTGTCACTAAAAAACTTTTTGTAATAAATAAGGGAAAAGTAGTTTAGTTAAAGGTATAATTGAGATCTCCTGAGGGAAACCGCTGGTCTAAGCTGGTCTACTCTGGTTCAGTGGACAGTCTGTCAGTACAGTCTCTGTATTCCTGGAAGCTGAATTGCTCTCAGTTTCACTATGACTAACTATTGATGCTGTTGTGAAGAGTGATGTAGTGGTAATAAAGGGGGGTAAAGTCTAAACCATAGTCACGTAACTGTGGAGCAACAGACATTACATACACAAACCAAGCAGAGTTATTATTTAATGTGAGCTGAACTGAAAATGTTTCCTGTGTTGCTTATTTCAGTTCTAGATCTTAATTTAATGAGTCATAATATCTTTTAGGTGAAGTTCTCATGAAATAGTGACTGAGAAACACTGAAATGCTGTAATGTAACATCACATGAAGCCTTATTTTCTAGCTGTACTTAAATGGTTCTTCAAGGGTTCCTTAGTAAAGAAAATGGTTCCGTATAGAACCATTAACACTAGAAGAACCCTTTACATAATTAAAGGTGATTCAATTAAATGGTTCTTCAGGTTGATGGTGAACGAGCTGTAGATGGTTCTATATAGAACCTTTTCAAAAAGGGCTCTACTATTGTTATGATGCCAAGATCGTCACTATGGCAGAACCCTTTTTGGTGCTATATAAAACCCTTTTCAAAAAGGTCCTATATAAAACTATATAGCATGTATTCTCTTCAATCTGAAGAACACTGTCACAATGTAAAACGTTTAATCATGCAAAGGGTTCTTTGGGTGTTCATGGAACCATTTTCTTTACTAAAGAACCCTTGAAGAACCATATTGTATAAGAGTGTAGTCATGTTTATATTTCACTGCTTTATTGTTGCGAACAGTCTGTGTTGTTATTAGCTTGGATTGGAAGTTTGGTTATTTCCTCATTTAGTTTATTCTGTCTATTGTATATTCCACTTTCTGTAATAGCATTGAGTCTTGAGTTGGGTTTAACTTGTACTTATTAATTAATAGAACTAATTGTTCAGTTTAAGTATACAGTACTGTGCAGAATTTTATGCACATCGTTTAATGCCATTAGGTTTAATAAGTGTGTTTTCCTCGAAACACCATATATCATTAGAGTAGATATAAGTAAACATAACTACAGTAAGCTGTAACAAAAATGTCCTACTTTCAAAATATTTTCATGGCCTCCAGCCATCACCTCATTTCACATTATGAAGTATTAAAAAGCCAAACCAGACATTAGATAATTACTACAAAACCATGAAGCCATGAGAGGTGTAGAAATGGCTCAACAAACACACTGATAAGTTGCGTAAACCCACTACTTCTTGTATTAATGTCATTTGTATTCATTCTAATATTAGTGTTTTTTTTTTCTTTTGCAAATAAACATGTACAGCCCAGATAAATCACTTTTTAAATCTAATAAAACAACAATAATATTTTGCAGGATACAGTATGTTCACTATTGTTGAGAGCCATTTTAATGGAGTGAGTCTTTTCGTAGTTGTTATCACTTACTGTGCCCTGTCTGAGCTCTTTTTAAACTCTAAAAATGAAGAAGTAAATTACAAAAAAAGGTAGATAAATGATTTTGAAAGGTGAGTGAAGACCTTATATTTTAAAAGGTGTGTATATGCACTACATAACTGGTGATGAAGCCTCGTCCCCAGCCCCTCGACAAAAAATAAATCAATAAATAAATAAATGAATAAAAAGTTATTTAAAATGCTAAAAATGATAAAAGTTTCTAAATTTCTAAATCTTTTACTTTTTTCACTTATTTTTGCAAAAATGCTTACCAGTGTTATTTTAGCTTACAGATTTTTGTATAAATCACATCTGAATGAATATAAATGGATATATAAATCTGAATGGATCTGAACACTGAGACAGGACTAAGTGTTGCACTGTAGTGTGATGCTGTGCTCAGAGAACAGTGACTTCACACAGTGGATTGATTATAAAAGGCGCAATAGACACAGAGTGCTGTGGACACATTTCCTGAGAGGCTGATAACCCCATCGTGTCTGAGAGAACAGCAGCGCAGCTAAGAATACCCCTTTTCCGCACCCAGCCAGCAAAGCGAGCAAATGAGGGAGGCTTCACACATCAGGCATGTTAGCGAGCTGGCGGCGTATAAAGGGGCTGCCGACTGGAGGTGGCTACAATAGTGAAATCAGAGGAGTCCCACCGGGCCCTGACCACTTCATCTGAAATTACATGGCATGGACTTGTTAGTATGCAGTACTGTATACTAAAAAAATCTAACACCAGTTTAAATGTATCCACACTGTAAAAAATAATTCAGTGTTTTAACCTGCTTGTGTTAAAATTCTGATCTCACTGAACTTTAAATAAGAAGTTATTATTATGTAAAACACAGATTATTGTTCTGTTAACTTACTATTAGATGTTTGATGAACTCAAAATTTTAAGGCAGCCAAGTGACTTACTTTTTCAAGTTAAAACACTGCATTATTTTTAACAGTGCAGGCAGCAAAAACTCTATATGACATTATAATACATTAAGGTGTTTATTATCAAATATATTAGTCGAGTAAATCTAGTACTGAATATTTGATGATTAATCAAATTCTCAGTTTCAAGAGGTTTTTTTAAGGCAAAGCAATAATATATGAAGGTAATGGAACAATAATGAAAAATAAAGAGCCTTTCAAAGATTCCAAAATGTGGGGGGAAAAATTAACAGTGAAGCTTTTAAAAAACACATGTTGAATTTCAACGTTGAATTTTCATGAATTTTCTTTTTTTCATTAAACAGAGTGCTGTGCTAATGTCAGAGACCAACTTTTCGCTATTCAACTTCCTCTCAAAATGGCCTTTAAGTACAAGTTATATTTTTCAGTGTCAGAACAAAAGCACTATAATATAGAAACATTTGCACCTCCAAAACTGGACATCTGGGATGTGAAGGTGGGTTTTAAGGACTATTAAGTCTACATTTTTGTGGGATTACTTGATAAGAAGCAGAAAATGCAACCAACTTCTAAGACTGAACTCCAGAGGTGTTGAAGAATCTCCCTGCAGATTTCCTTGAAAAACTGAAATCAAGTCTCCTGAGAAGAATTGAAGCTGTAATAAAGGCTAAAAGTGGACACACATACTGAAAAAAAATGATACTTGGATTTTCTGTAAAATATATGCCTCCTTTTTTCTTAATGCTGAAAAAAGAAAAAATTGCACTTAATGGCCATTTGTGCTGTAAATCAGTGAAAGGTGGTTTCTGACTTGAGCTCAGGGCTGTACATTGTTTGAAATTAGTTCACACATACAAGCAATATCAATGCTATATTATGATTAATGCCACCTTTATTAGTGTGATATGTCAGCTCTTATTTCATCAGCATCTCTTCTTGTTAAAAAATGGACATACAGTATTATTACAGGATTATACAGTATTAGTAAAATGAAACTTGTATAATCACATGACAGCACCGTCCATCAGGCTCTGCTTTTTACTAATAAGGAAGACCAGTGGGAGTGAATATGCATTATCATCATGCATGTTTTCAATTAATCATTGCCAATTATTGAGAAGGAAAATTGAGTAATCAGTAATAGTTTTTGACCGAGTGATCAATTTAACCGAGTAACGGTGACAGACCTTAATGCACAGATTAACATGAATTCAGTCAAAAGTAAGAATTTCAAGATTTCAGAATATAATTGAGCTGGTTAGAAGAAAACATGCTTGGTTCCTCTTCTCCTCAGTGCAGCTATAGCTGCTGCATGGATTTGCTCACCGTCCACCAGCACATCTGATTTAAAGCAGCACTAAATATGTTGTTTTGTTAAAACTGAAAGAAGAAGCGTTAGGAGAAAAAACATGTTGAAATATGTTGTAAAACATGAGTCGAGCTGTAGCACCTAAAATAACAATTTAAAAGGTTCATATGTCTTTACATATTAACACAGGCTCAAAAAGAAGGTCTGCCTCAATGTTGAGGTCTCAAATGCAAAATTAACATTATACTGATAAAGATATACTGACTACAGTGAATAAATCACTCACACAAGTTTTAAATTGAGTTCTCTTTGAATACTCTTTCAACTTGCTTGCAATCACCAGATTTATCCGCTCATGGGGGGTCCAAAGCACAACTCATGATACAAAATGTTCCTCCACACGTTGCATGCAATCACACATTTCAACCACAGAGGGCTCCAAATCCCCAAATCTTACACAGTGCTGCTTTAAAGAAGAAATTACAGTTTTTTCAGAAGTTCTTCAGAATGAAATAGTTATGGAACAAAGTCACTCAGAGGGTTTTGATGTGAAATGAGCAGCCCCAGAGAAACCTACCGAGTCAGAACTGTTCACAATGGTGTTAATAGGAACCAGACATCTTTAAATTGTTTCTAAAAGCTACATAAAAGAAAGCATTTATATGATATGGTAATGAATATGCTGCCTGATGCCTGAGACACTGTTTAACAATAGTTTTGAGATAGAATTTTGGCTGAAAACATATTTTTAAAGTTCATTCATGGCACAGAGGTAATTGCAGCTGTAATTTACTTGGGATAAAATGGCTATATTTGCGTTGTAGGCATTGACCCCTGATTCCTATCGGCACCACTGTGAACAAATTCTTTTTTCCCTCTTTAATTGATATGAGTATAGCTTACTGGAGTATCAAAGGCCTTTTGCAAGTGAACCAAATTTTACATTTACTTTATCTTACTAGTGCCTGAACTTGTGCTCATTGCTTTACACAGATAAAAAATAACAGATAAAAGCTAACAGATAAAGGTCCACAGACAAGAGTTCTCTAATTGATTCAGACACATTTTCATACACCTTGCAGACGACAACGAGTGTGTAAATGTCACGAACATCTGCGGAGAGAACGCCGTATGCAACAACACAGATGGAGCCTATTACTGCACCTGCAATGCTGGATACGAATCAACTGGAAGAAAGCAGTTTCAAACTAATGATGGAACCCACTGCACTGGTGAGGCGCCGCATTCATTTTGCAGGACTGATATTTTTTAAAACGTATTCATGACATAAGAGTGGATCTGCGCACCATTCGCCTCTTAGATAAGCTTCATGTCATTAACACTGCTCTCATGTGCATTGCAGACACTGATGAGTGTGAGAACGATGGGATATGCGGGCGCCACTCTAAATGCCACAATACGATTGGCTCTTTCTACTGCTCATGCCAAAGAGACTATACAGTATCTTCAGGAACAAACAGGTTTCAGGATCGGAGTAAAGTAGAATGCAAAGGTGAATATTCAGGAATTTACTTCCTTAATATACAGAATGTATGAATATGTTACAGTAACTTAGGATTTGCTTCAGTGCATCATTTCACATTTCAGAAATGATTTATTTTGGAGCGAGTCAGAATTCTTCTGGGGTTTTGTTTAAGTACATTGAATACACAAGCTTGCAAGAGACTGTTTACACATTGCACCATGATTTTTTTCTGCAAATCTTAGTGTGCCATTTTTATTTATTTGCTGAGGTTAACATATTGAGAAAAAATAATAAAATACGAACTGTGCCATAACTTTTGCATATGTCACTTTTCATGTTTTCTAAGTTAAATTCAGCAGATAAACACTAATTGTGCATTAAAATGTGTTTTCTCTGTAGAGGATGTGTTCACTTATTATCACTTAGAAAATCAACAAAAGGTCATTTGACCAGGGGCGCACATACATTAGCATATGGCTGTATTTTTGAAACTAGACCAAAAATGTTATTTTAGCCAAACACTGAGCGAATACTTAGATATTACTGCAATCTCTCACTACCGTTCAAAAGTTAATTACATTAATGACATTGATAATCGCTGCAGATTTAAATGCTGTTTTTTTATTATATGTTCCATTCAAGTGTTTGGGGAACATCAAGAAGTTATGAAATGATCAATTATAGACTGTAATAATCTATTTAGAGTCATCCATCACAACAAGTTTGCACTTTTGAATGGTAGGGTATTATAACTGATTCCAACATTACAAAATTGATGCAGTTGAATCGCCACCCTCAGAAAGATGTACGTAAAGATAGATAAATATTTACCTTTTTGTCGGTATCACTTTATTTTGGCAATCCAATATATATGATTTTTAGATGCTTGCCTCATCTTTAAAGAGGAACAGTCATGATGTAAAGAAAGTCGCTCAGAGTGGTTTGGTGTGGAGGAATTGTTCACAGTGGTGGTGATAGGAACCAGACGTCTGAAGTATTTAATGCTTCATATTTTTAATTTTGTTCAATGTTTAATATTACAGGAAATGATGTAGCTATATGTTTACAGACAGACAGACAGACAGACAGACAGATAGATAGATAGATAGATAGATAGATAGATAGATAGATGTACCTGAATGCCTGAGACATTGTTTTGCAATAGTTTTGAGATGAGGTTTTGGCCTAAAACATATTTTTAAAAATCCAATCATGCTGAAAGGCTACCTAAATGGCATTATAATGCAAAAGTCCCCAAAGAAAACATATTTTTTCAGATGTACCACTATTGTACATCATCAACATTACATATGAAAGCTCAGGAGACACATGTAGGCTCACTGTAGGCTTGAATAATAAACAATTAGCTATATTTGCATTGGTTCATGTCACCACTCCTGTATAGAAATCAGAATCAGTAATATTCTCCACTATTGCACACCAAACCACTCTGAATGAGTTTGCATCTCAATAAGTGAATTATGCAGACATTTTGAAAAACTGGTGGAACTTTAACTAACATTCAACTAAATATATATGAAATGTAACTGAACTTTAAACTGACTGTGATAGATTATATCAAATCTAACCCTAAACCCAAACCCAACACTGTTAACACATTGCAAATGCTATCTTAACAAGTGAAGAATCATAAATGTAGTCAATATATGTCATATTTCTCATAAAGAGACTGTTGTAAGAATGTTATTAGATTATTTGACTTATTTCTATTTTTGTTGTTGTTGTTTGAAGACATTTAATCTAATTAAAGTGTCATTTCATTGGCAGGTCATTTTACAGGTTTTAGGTATTATTTTATGAAATAAGCAAAATTATCATTATTAATTCTCAAAACAAGTAAAATAACCTGCCAACAGAATAAGACACTTTCAGAAAAAAAAATACTTAAAACAAGTAAAAATGCACAGGTGGAATAATCATAATTATGATATTCTTACATGGATATTATAAAGCGAAATATTAGATATGCTGACTACGTTTTTACTTGTTAAGTTATATATTTTTTGCAGTGTAATGATGGATTTTACTAGATAGTTTGTTAGCAATTAAAGCATCTGTAGATAATATATAGGTGACTCTCAGAATAAAATGCAAACTAAATATCTGTTGTCATTGAAAATGTATTGATTTGATTTTTTCAGAGGACCCCAAAAAGGACTGTCATCAGGACAGTAAATGTATTTCAGATACTGTTAACGCCACGGTGAAAGATGTAAGTATTTCCATAACGTTCTTCACAAATAATCACTACTGAAGCCTTTCCACTAAAATTGCTATTAATCCCAGCTGTAGTGCAAATATAAACAGCTACTACACTGTTCAGTAGCAACTCATGTAAACGAACAGTTTAATTTTAGAATTTTTAGAATATTAGATGTGTAGAAAAGCATCAAGACTCAGATCCAGCACAAAACCAGTTTGCTTTCAAGAGCAGACAAGATCACGATTCCAGCATACACTCGGTGAATGCGTCTATATGTGTGTATGCGTGCATATGTGCATGTGATGTCCAGCTCTGTCGGATGTTTTTCAGCCCACCTTACTGTGTGGGGCCCTTTTACATATTTGCCTTAGACCTTTGGCGGTCACACTGTGCTCAGGAAACAGCTGTAAATGAAATTGTACAGTAAGAGCTTCCATGATGAGCAAAGGTTTCTGGGAAAAAGGACTTATTTATCCGGACAGGTGTGAAACATAAAGGTAATACTGGGTCATGCAAAAAACAGAAGGTAGAAGTTCATATGAAGAATTCAGCATTTCTTTCAGGCAGAATTTTTATTTTGTCCCCTTAAAATCCCAGGATTATTACATAACAGGGCTATAATTTAGTAACTACAGGGACTTCAATGCAAAGTGGCTGAGCTATTCTTAGGTGATAGAAGTGTTCGATAAAACTTTGGGCTTGCCAGTGGACCCTGGCCATTCAGGTAGTTTATCAACACTTTTTAAATTAAAATAATGGCAATTGCCTGATAACAGCGGTTTTGGACATTTACTTACTATTAAGCATAAGATCCATGTAGTTCTGTGTTAGGAAAGTGAAGAATGTAAGCCTTACAGTTTAAGAGGTTAAAATTCCTTTAGAAAGTAATTCTGCTGTGTGATTTGTTTACAAAAAGAGATGAATCACCGGTACTTAGAACTGTGTCTGTGCAGCTACATAACCCTGACCACAGTGTAATCTTGCTCCAGGGTTTTCTCTCTGGACATGCGGAGATCAGCGTAGGAGAGAGAATGGTGCTCTCTGCTGGTAAATTTATGAAAGTGAAAGGTGGCATGATTTAATTTCAGTGAACTTTTGTTTCACCCTTTTTTTTTCTAATTGTGATTAGTGTGATTAACTGACCTTTCAGCGATACAGTGATATGGCTATATAGCGATTATGTTATATAGTGGTTTGTCTATAGAGCAGTGGTTTGGTCACATAGCAATTTGGTTAGTAATTTGGTTAATTAGTGTTTTGTCTATAGAGCAGTTTGGTTATACAGCGGTTTGGTTATATAGTGGTTTATCTACTTAACAGTTTATTTATATAGTGATTTGAATATGTAACAATTTGGTTATACAGAGGTTTGGTCATAGTAATTTCGCTATATATACACAGTGAGCACTGTATTAGGTACATCTACCTTGCATCCACACTCTTTGACCATTTTATCAGTTCCACCTACCATATAGGTGCTTTGGTAGATCTACAGTTATACACTATAGTCCATCTGTTTTTTCCATAATTTGTTATCCCACCTTTACCTTGTTCATTCATGGTCAGGACCACCACAGGACCACCACAGTACAGATAGTATTTGAGTGGTGGATCTTTTCATTTACAGCACTGCAGTGACACTGATATGGTGGTGGTGTGTTAGTGTGTGTTGTGCTGGTATGAGTGGATCAGACCCAGCAGTGCTGCTGGAGTTTTAAAACACTGTGTCCACTCACTGTCCACTCTATTAGACACTCCTAACTTGTCAGTCCACCTTGTAGATGTAAAGTTAGAGAAGATAGCTCATCTGCTGCTGCACAGTTTGTGTTGGTCAACGTCTAGTCCTTCATCAGTGGTCACAGGACGCTGCCCACAGGACGCTGTTGGCTGGATATTTTTGGTTGGTGGACTATTCTCAGTCCAGCAGCAACACTGAGGTGTTTAAAACTCCAGCAGCACTGCTGTGTCTGATCCACTCAGACCAGTGCATCACACACTAACACACCACCACCACATCAGTGTTACTGCAGTGCTCAAGTAAGGCATTACCGTTTTGTCTATTTAGCCGCTATGCAGCGTCATGTTTCTTCATGACTGCCCATGATTATGTTTAGATGTAGAGTAAATGTTTTAGAAAAAGGTTTTTATTCTTTCATTAGCTGATCTAAAGACTGGTAATCTGACAATATCCATTGCCATTCTGTTTCTTTTACCTGCAATTGAGTTTTTTTAGCTTACTGTCGGACAGTCACAGAAAGACAGCTGGACAGGACATGCTTTTGTCCACGTACATACAGAAATTGCATAACGGAATGACCTTGAGGTCAGAAGGAAGTGCAGCGTCAACCATGCTGCCCCCTCTTACTGTTGTGCTAGTGCTGGCCATTCTGTGATTGAGCCTCTTTATGTGCTGTATATTTCATTGCTTTGTGGGTTATTTTAGACCATTAGTACTGAAATATGATAACTATCCTTTGGCATTTTTCTTAAAAAGTTACAGAAATGCTCCCATGTGGCGTACCTCTGTAAGTCTGATTAGCAGTTAGAAGCTGTTAGTGATGTAAGATGGGACTGTGGAACAGAATATCTGCATATACTGCTTTTAATTTACTCTAGTGGAAAATTCAGGTTGGTTAAAGTGAGCGATCGTTGTTTGATTGCTCTGCCCTGTTAGCCAGAACTCTTACAAATTAATGGTTCTTTGGGGCAGTACTGCTGCTTTCCCACTTTTGGGAAAGAGCCTTTGAGTAGTTTCAGCTTGTTTTTTAAAGAACCATTAACTGAAAGATTCTTTAGGAAACCAAAAGTGGTTCTTCTACAGCACTGCTCCAAAGAAACCCTTCTGGCACCTGAAAAGGAAATCAAAAGAGAGGCTAGTTTACTGTGGTTCATTAATAATATCTTTATTTATAGAGCACTTTTCATACCAGCGGCAGCTCAAGGTGCTTTACAGACAGAGGATAATGTTTTACAGTAATAGACAAGACAATGACAGACAATAATAGTTGAAATTGAGTTCCACAGTTTAGAAGCATAATAACTGAAAGAGGTCTCTCCACGTTTTCTGTATTTTACAGTCATTTTTGTAAGGTATTTGCAGAAGGTCAGTATCTGCAGATCTAATATCACGTGCTGGGACATAAACAGACAGACGTTCTGTGATGTAAGCAGGTGCTAGGTCATGTAGAGCATCAAAAACTAGCAGCAGAACTTTAAAATATATCCTGACAGAGACAGGTAGCCAGTGCAGCTCTTCCAGAACAGGACTGATATGAGCTCTCTTTTTAATTTTTGTTAGAATCGGTGCTGCAGCATTTTGTATGAGTTGTAGAGGCTGTATTGTTTTCTTAGGAAGCCCAGCACTGTGTCCAGACAATATTAAAAGCATTGTGTAATAACCTGGTTGTGTCCTTGAGTTTCATCCACACCCACACTACCCACTCTAAAACATTACAGTGAAGTATTTCAAAAGTACTTCAAATACTTGCAAATCAAAAAAATGAGGAAGGAAAAACTGCTAAACTTGCAGTGAAAAAGCAATGCATTGAAATGCCTTTTTTCAAATGTATGTCATTTCCACATAAAAGATCAACACGATTATTACCAAAAATAAGTAAACTTAAAAAAAGGTACTCATATTAATTTTATTTATGTGGAAATTATGTACAAATTTGAATAAAGCAAGTTTAACACATAACATGCTGTGTCTGATGACTAATCCCACCTCAGAACAGTTACTAAAGCCATTTTAATGTCTTATCTTTGTAGATCATTAACCTGCCAGACCCACAGCAGCAAATGGAGGAGATAAGAAAGCAAACATCAGGTGACCTCGCCCCAGTCGCTGTCATCTCTTACATCGAAGCCATGGCCATCTCCACCTTACATTTTGTAAACGAGTCTCAGAAAGAGAGTGCCATCAACAAAACTATCTGGGTAAATAATAAATACTTTCCCCTGACAGACACATAATACATGTTCACTGTGTTTTATTATGGCTCCATATGCAACACACTTTTAAAAAAGATGGTTCTTCCAGGGTTCTTTAATAGAGTGAATGGTTCTCTTTAGAACCATGAGTTCTATATAGAACTATTTCATGATTAAATGGCTCTTTGCATGGTGACTTTTTTCTTCAGATTGATATGTTGTAGATGGTTCTGTATAGAACCTTATAACAACAAATAGGATTCTTCTATTGTTACAAACTTGAGATCATAAGAACAGCAACATTTTTTGGTGCTATATAGAACCTTTTTCAAAAGGTTCTATATAGAACTATATACAACACATCCCCCTTCAATCTGAAAAACAATTTCATGATTTAAGAATTGTGAAATTTCTACCTAGAACCTTTTGAAAATGGTTCTATATAACACTAAAATATGTTCTTCTATTGTTATTAGCTTGATACTGTAGCAATAGCAGAACCATTTTTGGTGCTATATAGAACCATTTTTAGAAAGGTTCTATATAGAACATTCTGCATCAATCTGAAGAATGATTTCACCATGCAAAGAACCCTATAAGCATGCAAATTGTTCTTTGAGTGTTCATGGTTGTGCATAGAACCATGGTCTTTACTAGAGAACCCTTGAAGAACCATCTTTTTTTAAAGAGTGTAGTTGTATAAATTGTTGCCGTCATAATAAAACCTTGTAGCTGGAATACTGTGTATAGTACTGACTGTGCAACCATGCAAGACCTGGTAGACCACCTGTAAGACCAGGTAGACCACCAACACTGTCACCATCAGATAAACAGACCTAATCTATTGATTTCAAAACATGAACTTTTTTGGACATTTTTTTTGCAGAATTTGGTGGAGAGTGTGAATAATCTGGTTGAGAAGGAGGAGAAGGTGGCGTGGGACAGAATGAGTGAGGATGTGAAGGACTACTGCATCACTAAGCTACTGCACACAGCGGAGCAGGGCGCACTGGCTCTGTCTAAGGTCTACAGAAAGTCAGCTGAGATAGAGGTCAACACAGGGGATGTAGGTAAGATGAGTCGCAAAAGCCTTGCAGTTTAACCTCTTAAGAGCCTGCATTTGTGGTCCACACTTCAATTCCTCTCTCTTATAACAGTATACCTTGTATATTAGTCGCTAACTATATGTAGCATTTGGATAACAAGCACCATTTTTACTTTTAATGTTACAGTTTTACATTAATTTCTCTAAAATTTTGAACTTCAAGCTGAATATGGTAGGATTATTTACTGCCTACATTGGAAGGTAGTTGTGCATAGCAATGACTGTAAAAAGCAGAGGAAAGCGCAACGTCTTTAAAAAGTGAAGCAACCACAGGTCTAGCGCCCCTGCTGGCTGGCTGCAGTATGACGTGTAGCTCTGCCCACCCCCATGTGTTTTAATAACAAAACAGGCAATTCAGTGTCTAATTCAATACAGTGTCTAATTCAAACCCTTAGTTTTCAATATGCTTGGCACATTTTTTATTTTCCCCCAGAAAATTAGCTTTAAAACATTATTCTACATTATCATAAGAAGGTGTGGTTACACTTGGGAATGAAGTGATTGACAGCCTTGGCTGGAAGAGATTGGCTTTATGCTGTAACATTGCAAGCTTTTTAGTCGCTGGTCACTACAAAAACTAAGTTAGCTTGCTTGCTTCTCTTCTTCTCTAATTAGCTAGCTAGCAATAAACAAATTACATCAATGTATTAATGTCTGTTGCATTAACATGAGCACAATCTCCATTTTGGTTAACATGACACACTGTCTCTCTTCGTTGAAATAACATGTTAATGATTTAAAAAATGAGCTTCAGTGGTGTAAACACGAAAAAGTGCTAACCAAGGACCGACTGAAGTTTTGCCTGTGGAGGAGTTGGCATGCTGGCTAATCTTACCTATAAATTGCTGGTATGTGACATTCGTTTTATTAAATTCAGAACTATAAGGTGTCTGAATATGTTATTAAGTTACACAACTAACATGAACTGCACTTTTACTGTTGGTACATTACACTAACCGGACAAACTGAATATCCAGGAAAAAAAGCCCCCTTTGCTTTTGCTGCTTTCAGCTGCGTTGTTCCACTGCTATTGTTGCCAGTTCATTGAAGGCAGTCTGTGACACACTTGACCTACCAAATGAGTAGGCCTACCTGACTTCGACTCTCTTCGACATAGTTCACCAGTTTTGTAGATTGAACCTTTCACGGCCCAATATACTAAACTATGCTAAGAAGAGGATTACGATATGGGGGCCGTAAGTTTGGTTTCAGCTACAGAACAGGCCTGTCCTGACGTAGCTAGAAATAACTGTGCAGTAAGCTGTTAAGCTAAAATAAATCAATGAAATTTGTACCTAAAATTATGACTGTGTCAAGTTTATATTCCACATGTGCCTAATAAACTGTGGCATGTAGAGCTGTTCTTGTAGCAGACTGTACCGCACTAGTTTAGCATGCTACGGCTACAGCACACCACAACACAGGCTCATTCTGGTTCACTGAAGCTTCAGTGGTTTAGAGAACAATGTGAGGGGGAAAACCTACACATATGTGTGGGAAGCTGCTAGCTTACCTACTTTTGCTTCAGTGTACGCGTTACCACTGGAACAGAGTGTTAGCAAGTTTAGAGGACAAAGGCTCAAATCTAAGTGACTGAAAAAGAGTGACTGGTGTTGAAGTGAGAGAGACGCAGCATAATTCTGATTATTAAAGTTACAGTGGGAGCTTTGTTTCTGGTGTGCACGGTAGTGGGTGGGAGAGGAGCTTATAAGTGGGAAGTCAAGGGGGTTTTTACAATTTGCACATTCATAGATCACATTTTTAATGAGTGTTAAGGTGTAGAGATGATCCTTTACCATTCTTAGTAGTTTCCTGGGCATAATAATAATAATACATATAAAATTTAACAATTTATTATTCAGCATTTTTTGTGTTCTAAATTATAACTTTAGGGATACTTCAATGATTATGTAATCATAAAAATATAAAAAAGTGAAAAATGTAAAAATAAAAACTATAAACTCTGACTATGTTTTTTATTTTATTGGCTGTTTAGATACTTTAAGATAGAAGCAAAATTTTCCTAATTATTTTAACTCATTCTATAAATTGTTTTTGTGTTCAGTCAATCTTGTGATTTATCAGATATCAGACCTTTGTCACATTCTCTGTTTTTGGGAATATATAGTACAGCAGTACAGTTATGTGAACTTAGATATGAACATAATCAAAACAATATAATATCTGGTCAGTTTTCATTTTAGGATGGATAACATTGTTTCAGGGTGATTCTGAAAAACACCTGGGGGCCTGGCTTTCACCAGCTGCATGGTTGCACTTGTATGGAGAAAAAAAAATTATTGTATTGTTGTCTGGTATAATATACTGTGTCTAAATTCAAAAATCCTTTTACTGCTCAAGGACTGCTTGATGTGGTTTTCATCACTATACATTTCTCCATTTACAGAACTAAAACTCTACAAATTTGACCCCCAACAACAACAGAAGCGGAGCATCTCAGCTTCCATCGGTGGAGATTCCATTTCACTGAGGCCCAAATACAGCAAGGAGGAAAGCAAAAATGGTGAGAATCCAGAATTCCTCATTAAAGCCCTGCAAACTCCATTATTTAATCTCCCATGTATGGCCTACAGACCCAAGAGATGGCAGTGTGTTTTCATGTTTTATGCATTAGGGAGCGTCTCGGTGATATTCCTCCGCTACGACAGCATTGGGCCTCTGTTGAAGCCCACATCTGACCCTGGTGTGGCAGACTACAGTCGCTATGCAGATGCTGGGGAGATCACAGTAAATTCTCCTGTAATAGCTGCTGCTATATCTCCACCAAGTGTTTTCCCCCTGGACCGTGTGAACTTCACTCTGAAACACAATGAGGTACGTTCACATTTGACCCTTGGCAGCCTCTGTGTTTACACTTATGAACTGTTATAACAGATCATAGCCTAAATTAGAACTTTTATTTTTAAAGTAGAACTTTATGGATGCTGTTACAAGCCCATTTCCAAAATAGTTGGGATGCTGTGCAAAATGTAAATAAAAACAAAATGCAATAATATGCGAATCATTTAAACCCAATATTTCATTGAAAATCATATAAAGACAACAAACTGAAAAATGTTTGTTTTTTGAAAAATATACACCCATTTTGAATTTGATGCCAATAACACGTTCCAAAAAAGTTGGGACGGGGGCAACAAAAGGCTGGTAAAGTTGTGTAATGCTAAAAAAAACACCCGGTGGTTGATTGGCAACAGACCGGTAACATGATTGGGTATGAAAAGAGAATCTCAGAGAGGCTGAGTCCTTCAGAAGTAAAGATCGGGAGGGGTTCACCACTCTGTGAAAGACTGTACAGAAAAATACTGCAAAAAATTTACAAATAACGTTTCTCAACATAAAATAGCAAAGAACTTGAGGATTTCATCATCTACGGTACATAATGTCATTAAAAGATTCAGAGAATCTGGAAAAATCTCCACAGCCAAAAAACAGAATTTGCTGGCAATGAAACAATAACATTTCTCAGTTTCAACTTTTGATATGTTGTTTTTGTAGTATTTTCCTTTAAAAATATGTTTTACTTGATTTGCACACCATTGCATTCTATTTTTATTTACATTCTGCACGGCGTCCCAACTTTTTTGGAAATGGGGTTGGAGAAAACATAAGTCTAGTAATGCAGGCTGCAGTCTTAGTGAATTGAGTGTTTTGGAGAATATGCACAATATTCACATTAGCCTAAATGAATTCTCACCTTTGCATTAAGCCCATAGATCTGGAAAAAGATGAGACCAAATGTGCATTCTGGGACTATTCACCTGCCAACATGAAGGGTCACTGGTCTCTAGAGGGATGTGAGCGTGCTTTCGTCAACAAGAGCCACACCACCTGCTCCTGCAATCATCTGACACACTTCGCCATACTCATGTCCTCTGGCCGGGCCAATGTGAGTTTGCACTGTCAACAAACAATGGCATCAGATCTGAGAGTGATGAAACCTCCCCAAAACTAATGTTGCTTCAAACAAAAATATATTGCAAATTTTTACCTTTAAGGTTTTCATTTAATGTGTAATGCTATAGCAAACAAAACAATTTCATTTGTGTCAAAAGTATAAAGTTATATTAATTTGGCAAGTGGATGCTGCACTCTTAGAATGATTCTCTGGAGCAATGTCATTGAATAACCACTTTTGGTTACCCAACAAGCCATTCAATGGTGACTTGCAAATCATAATGCATGCATAATGCTGATGTTAGGTGAGAGCGGTGTAGGGGAGTGGGGAGGGGTCGGGGGGTCATGATATTACTGGTTAGTTATTGCGTCTGCTGATGCAAATAATCAAAACTCAGAAGATGTTTAGGGGAAGACATGATCATTCGTGCTTAATGTGATCAGAGACATGAACTAACAAAATAAAAAAGGTCATTTTTGATTCAACACATTTTTTAATTTGGCATGCTGGAGTCAGCCACTCTACAAGGCCCACGCTCAGGAGAAAATAGAGACATGGGAAATAAAGCGTAATTGTGAAGACTGTAATTGTATCTTATTTTCTAGTGACAGATAATTTTGCTTGTTGCAACATTAGAATAGAATAGAATATGACCATTTCTGTTAATAAAATGACTCAAAACAACCCACCAGTTTCATTGAGAAAGCAGTAATTTTTTGTAGTTATGCATATGGACCTATTACAACCAACCATAATTATGTAAATTAGACGTGCAAGGGTGCAAGACTTTTCCACTTCAGAAGAACCTTCCATATAATCTAAAGGTTCTATAGGTATTTTATGTTTTTTGTAAAACTGTATATCTGAGTAATAAACCTTTTTGGAACCCTTATTTTTAACAGTAGTGATGAAGTTGGAGATATTAAACAGCTTTCATAAACATAATGTACTGTGTTGCACGGTCCTGGCCATGTCCCAGACTTTAACTTGTGTCTGCTATCTTCCTCAGCTTGCTGCTCACTATAATGTACTGACCCGCATCACCCAGCTGGGCATGGTGATCTCCATCATCTGCCTCTTCATGTGCATCTTTACCTTCTGGTTCTTCAGCGAGATCCAGAGCACCAGAACCACCATCCACAAGAACCTGTGCTGCAGCCTTTTCATGGCCGAATTCATCTTTCTGGTCGGGATAAATATGTACACACATAAGGTGCGAATGCTGAATTCTGTCTATGAACTGAGTTTTTTTGCAGATGTAGGCTCATTGCAAATTTGATGCCTGCAACATGTTCCAAAAACTCATGTTTACCACTGTTTTGTATCACCTTTCCTTTAACAATCATTTGGGGACTGAAGACTCCAACTGATCCAGTTTTGAAAATGAAATTGTTTGCGATTCTTCTGTTGTAAGTCTTTAGCTGCGCAACCGTACAAGGCTTTTGTTGTCATATTTTGCAGTTAACAATGTGAGACGTTTTCAGTGGGAGACGGGTCTGGACTGCAGGCAGACCAATCAACCACTGACACTGTCTAATTATGACAGACATGCTGTTGTAATATGGCAGAATGTGGCTTAGCATTGTAGTGCTGAAATACACATGGACATCCTCCAAAAAGACATTGCCTTAGAAAGCAGCATATGTTACTCCAAAATATGTATATATCTTTCAGTGTTATGGGTGCTACTACACCCCCACACCATGGCAAATCCTGGCTTTTGAACTTTACACTGGTAACAATCTTGTTGGTCCTTTTCTTCTTTGGCCCAGAGTACACAATGTCCATTATTTCCATAAACAATCTGAAAGTTCAGATTACAATACAAGTTTCCACTGTGTATCAGTCCATTTCCAGTCCAGATGATCTTGAGCCCAGAGAAGTTGGCGGTGTTTTTAGATGTTGTTGACATATGGCTTCCATGTTTATTGACAATGATTTGTCAAAGTATTTCCGAGCCCACATGCTGATATTTGTTCACTGAGGAACGTTGTTCTTATACTGTTGGATTATTCGCTGGCACATTTTTTGGCTAAGGTCTAGGCCTTTCCTGGATTTTATATCAAAGCATGAATGCATCACCTATTTTAGATGGTTTTTTGAACATTTTACAATGCTCTTAAATCGTTCCAACTTTTTTGGAACGTTGCATAAATGGCATAAATACTGGAAAAAAAACATTAAATATCTTGTCTTTGTGCTGTTTTCTTTTAAAGTGTATTTACAAATCACTACTTTCTGATTTTTTATTTTATTTTACATACAGTCCCAACTTTTTTTGGAACTGAGCTTAGTAGAAGAATTGTGTTAGGGGAGCAAATTAAACATTCAAAATTTCTTAGATTTTTTTCCCTATGAGTAATTGATTGATTGATAAAATGCAAAAAAAGCAGTTTCAAGATCAGTTGAAACTTCCAGTATTCCAGGCATTTTCTTTAGTACTGACATTAATCATTGTGTATACAGTTTTAATGAGCTATGCATTAGACCCACCATCACAAATGATGGATTGACTTTGAAACTGCACCTGTTTGGCTGACCGTTGCTGTGTGCTATGTGGTTGTATGGCAGCAGTAGTTATTGTGCTTTATGTCCTTGTTTCAGTTGTTTTGCTCAGTTGTTGCTGGGTTGCTGCACTATTTCTTCCTGGCTGCTTTCGCATGGATGTGCATCGAGGGCATACACCTGTACCTGATTGTTGTTGGAGTCATTTACAACAAAGGCTTCCTTCATCGCAACTTTTACATATTTGGCTATGGAAGTCCAGCAGTGGTCGTTGCAATCTCCGCAACTCTTGGCTACAAATATTATGGTACAAGCACTGTGTAAGTATGGTCATGTTGATAGTCATACTGTATTTACATCTTAAAACTGACAAGCAGTGAAGTGATTGTAGGATTGGGCCTCATTTACCAATATAAGTATATATTATAAAACACAAGTATAAAACACAACACGTTTTTTCCTAAATGTGTTTTTGATGAAGGTCCTAAGAAAAAGTCTACGGCAGATTCATGTCGTGTTCCTAAACCACAGAATTGTTCACACCTTTGTGCTCTTGAGTGTGTGTAGATTCTGTTCTTACCTAAGAACAAATCCCAAATAAGAAAACACAGGTGAATGTCAGAATCTTTGTGAAAACTGCATAAGTGAGTTAAAGAAGAAATTTCTTCTGAAGAATGGTTGGTGAATGAGGCCAAGTGTTTTGAAAGGACTTATTATCACGATCATGTACAGATATATGCTATAATGTTTCTTTATGGTGCTTAAAAGAGAAGTTGTTATTTTTTAAAGGTGTTGGCTAAGCACAGAAAAAAATTTCATCTGGAGTTTTATTGGGCCTGCGTGTTTGATCATTCTGGTGAGACCAAAATTTTAACTTCATAATTGCATAATTACACAAGTTGTACCTTAAAGCCTATTTTGATGTCATGTCCATGCTCATATTTTTAATAGTTTAATTAACTGCTATTGATTGCAATTTTATGTATTGTAAATATGTTAGTCTATTATGTAATCAATGTAATCTTGAAAGTGTATTTAAAGAATCTTAAACATCTTCAAAAAAAGCATAAAGTATTTTTTAGGCGTGTGAAATGAGTCACAGGATAGTATTTCTTATTATTGCTTGTTGCAACACTTTTTCTTATTGTCACATCCAGGTTAATCTGTTGGCCTTTGCGGTTATCATCTACAAAGTCTACCGTCACACGGCAGTAAAGAAGCCAGAGATCAGTCACTATGAAAATATCAGGTGAGACATCTTTGTTTATATAAGAGTTTGGCATGAATGAAATGTGCATTCGTGAAAATCCCTTTTCTGAATGCAGGTCTTGTGCCCGAGGAGCTCTGGCCCTCTTGTTCGTTCTTGGAGCCACGTGGACTTTGGGTGTGGTGCACATCCTCAATGAGACGACCCTCACAGCTTATCTCTTTACGTTTGCGAACGCCTTTCAGGGCATGTTTATCTTCATCTTCCTCTGTGTTTTGTCCAGAAAGGTACGGCTTATTTTCAAATGCTGAACTGAAATGTGTCTCATGTTTTTGTGTTAGTAACTTTGCCTCTGAAATGTCTTCTGTCCTTAACAGGTTCAAGAAGAGTACTACAGATTGTTCAAGAATGTTCCGTGCTGTTTTGAATGCCTGAGATGAAGAAGACATGCCTGGATAGTCGCCAACACAGCAGTATACTGAAAATGTTTATGCAGATCTGAACGCTACCCACTGTAAATAGAGCATGCATTTGAAGTTGCCACCAAAAATGTCTTCTGGGGAAGAAATGTGTTACTGAAAAGTGATTTGTGTAGCAAATGGTAGCTCCAAAATATTTATTTCACGAGGCAAAGTAACCCGTCTACTTGTACTGAATTACAATTACCTTTTCAGGAACATGCTCATGTATGAGTGAGTTCAAATATGCAAGTAGTGCAATTGGCTGCCTGATATAGTCACGTTTTCTCTTTTATTGATAGATCTGGGTTCAACACATTATAACCTAAATTATGGGTAAAATATCAGTTCCAAGGTCAAAACTGCATTAGACCCAGAATGAAAAACTACAACATTGATTCTGAGCCTACCTACATCATATTTCATGATTACATCATGTTCCAACCTATGTGCAAAGTTACTTTATCGATGATATGACTTTACTTGAGTATAATTTCTATGAATTCTTTGATATCAGTTAAATGACCCAAATGATCATAGTATAACTGTTCTTATTCATTCTGAATGTAGCCACTATGCACATTATGATGAAACATTTTTGAGTAAAATGTACATTTTGTATTTGTACTCAAGCAATAGTAAAAGTACTGTATTTAAACCATGCAAAGCATATCTGCAGTAACCAAAGTTACATGTAATCACTTGTCTTCTGTGTGTGCCGTATAACTGACTGTCGATGTTTGAATATTCTGTACTGCAGACAGCTTCCAGAACTTAACTCGGTAATGTAATTTGGTGTCACCAATGTCTGATGGCTTTATGCTGGCTTATGAAGCATTAAAAATCCATTTTTCTTAGTCAAATTGCAGTTTTACAGTTTTTACAAGGGGAGGGCCCAAAGTTTTATTCTATGACCTAAGAATAGCTCAACCAGTTTGCATTAAAGTCCTTGTAGTCACTGAATAATAAGCGTTAGACCCAATCCCATTTCAGTCCTCGCCCTACCACTGAGCCCTTAACCCTCCATTTTGCGTGTCTACTTCAAGGGGGTAGGGTGTCCCGTTTTTTGTGTTGAGATAGAGGGGTAGGGCGAAGTGTTAGGGCTACATGGCTCTCCAAATTGAGTTTTTTTCAGAGGCACACTCCAAACAGAGTGTTATGAGAAAAAAAGAAAAAACAGCAAGATGGCTGCGCAAGAAATCCACGAATATGAGAATTTTCTCTGTTAAAAATTACAATAATCATTATATTATTTTTGTTTAATGTCGTTTCAATGTAATATGGTCCTTTTTTCATAACAAGCGTAAAAAATTTCTAGTATTATGCTGATGTCTCGGTAGCTAGCTAGCTACATTTCCCGTTCCACCTTAATCTGGGCAGTAGTTACATTCTGCCGTGTCAGGCAGAGTTAAGAGTTAAGAACATCTCTTTCACAAACACATTTGGTTTGGATTCTTCTGTCCTTGCATCTTTTGCTGCATTCGAGTGGTGTCAAAAACTGGGAAATACCAAATAAATTGCACTTGAACACTATTTACAGGTGGGAAACTTGTATATGCGCACAGCCAGTGTTGCCAGATTGGGCGGGTTCCCACCAATTGGGTGGACTGTAGGTGGAATTGGCAAGAGAAAAGTGCTTTGGCGGGTGGACAAAATTTCATCTAGTTTGTTAATATTTTATATTATATTTAATCAGTTTTTTATCAGTTATCAAAACTTATATATACATTTTATCACTCCTGTTGAGAGGAGTTAGTATCGTTCACAATATATATCAGCAGTCACTGTACCCGGTTTATTATGGATGTAGTGGAAGTGCGTTCACGTCCAACACAATATAGATCGTCCAGTTCAGTCCAGTTGTGCTATTCAACTGGACCACCCTGGGATCTGTTCAGCAGAGCCTATTAAGGTAACAAGTTTTAAAAATGTGCATGAGGAATAGTTATGCTTGCAGTATTGTTTCTATTAATTTTCTGAATGCACAGGATAATGAATCTCATCATAATGCAGTAAAAAATGTTAATACTCTGAAAGCTTTGTTGTGTTTGTGTGAGCTCTGCAAGTCATGGAAATAAGATACACATACAAATCAAATAATACAGTTATTTTATTGAAATTATTTCTAGTTTCTTTGTCCAGGCATTTCGTAGATGTTTGACAAAGATTTGGGTTCTTTGATAAACTGGTTAGGCTGTTTTGGGTGGGTACTTTTTGTACGTTCGAACTGTTTCCATTCTAAAAGAGCAGGAGCACATCTGATTCCCCTTATTTGATCGATTTCTCAGTCTTCAAACAGCCAATCATGTGAGCTCCTGCTTTGTTGGAATAAAAACCTGCAGACAGACCGGCCTCCTTGAGGACAGGATTGGATATTCCTCTCTTGGAGTGTTTTGCAATAAGGAGGTCCCACTGTGTGGGTTCAAGTGGTCACAACATATGATGGGACACCACTCCTATCATGTGTGAATGAGCAATGACTAATCTGGGGGGAGGGACTGAGAAAAAATCCAACAAAGAACTCAAGTAATTTCAGCTTTTACAATCACTTTCACAGTTTTTGAGGAAGCTCAGATTAAGCTGTATCGTTGAACTAACTGGGATAAACATGGGTTAGGAGAACCTTTGACTAAACTGTGAGATAACTAACAAATCTATACAAAGAGCTGCCTTACAATTTCAAGTTAACATGATTTAAATTGTTTATAGAGAATAAAACATGGTCAGAGTTAATTTTATGTCAGTTTAAAAAAAGATCTTTTAGTGTGATTTTAGTCTGAGGGGGCGAACGTCCGCAGAGCTCATGCTACGTGCGTGTTTATTTTTCAGTGAATACACCATATTTGCAGGACACACTGACATTGTCCGTGGTCACAGTGGACCCACACCTTTGTCCTCTTCCCATTTCCACAGGCTCAGCATGTCATGGACTTGGTGTGCAGCCATCTTTTGCCTTGCATTTTAGCTTTGGCCTCTTAATAACTGTAAATACTGTTCAAGTCACGCTTCTCCAGCCAAAGCATGAATTCACTCTGAAGCTATAAACATCCTGCCGTGCAGCAGCAAGCCCCTGTGCAGGTGAAGCGAGATTGAAGGAGATCGTTTGACCCTACTGGTTCTGACCAGAGGAGATAAGGTGGGCAGGAGAGGGAGGATTGACCTCCATATATAAGATGATGCCCAAGCATGGGATTGCACTGCTGCCACTCGCCATGCACCGGCTCCTCTTCTGTCTCTCTGCGGCCTTGGCTGGTATGTATCTCGTATAGATTAGAGCGCAGCCTGTTTACATAATGTAAGTTACGAATGGTATCACCATATATCCTGGACCGATTATACATCAACAATATCAGGAATGCTATACTGCTTACCTTGGCTTATCATTTATCAGGGTGCATTTATTCATAGCTGTGCTATTCCTGCAATGAATAGAGCTTAAATAAAGCGTTCAATAAAACATTAACTCTGATGTTTCCTTCTGTCAGCAAGTGAGAGCATCAATTATGGTGAGTAACAAAGTACATTACAATAATTCTAATATTATTCATCTTTCAAAAGGAAATGATGTCAAATGACTTTCTGCGGAATTATTAAATAATACATAACTTAAATGGAAAGGGTCTTAACTAATAATATGCATTATTGTTATTATTATTATTATTATTATTAGTTGTATTAGTAGTAGTAGTAGTAGTATTATTAACCAGTACAAGAATGTTAACTAAAAATAAACTTTAATATTCAGAGACTGTATGCGTAGGCTATGTGTGTGTGATGGAGGGTTGGGGGGCAGAGAGAGAGAGAGAAAGAGAGAAATTGAAGGGAGAGAGATAGAAAAAGAGAAGTGAGAGAGAAAGGAAGAGAGAAAAATAGATAAAAAAAAAAAGAAAAAGGGGAGAGAGAGAAAGAGAGAGAAGGCGAGAAAGGCAAAGAGAGAGGGGGAGAGACACAGGATGACAGATGAGAGAGACAGAGAGAGGAGAGAGAGACAGGGAAGGGGAAGGAGAGAAAGAGGGGGAGAGAAAGACCGCAAGAGAAAGAGAGAGAGAGAAAGGAGACAGAAAAAGAGAGAGGCAGGGAGAGAGGAAACAGAGGGGGGGGGAGAGAAAAGAGGTGTGTGTGTGAGAGAGAGGAGAAATAGAGAGGGAGTGAGAGAAGGTGACATTGTAGGTGTACTAGATCTCATTTGTTCACAGTTTATCTGCAACACTACTGTTGATACTACATAAACCTGCACTGTGATTTTCAAGATCATGTCTATACAGTTTTATTCTATAGAGATTATTTTGGGAAACAATGTCCACTGGAAAAAAAAAAGCTGAGATATGTTTGGTGTTTGCTTTAGTTTTGTACTGGAGCTACAGGACTAACGCAGCTAACAAGTAACGGAGGATTATAGGGGAGACCAGGGCGTCGTGTCACACTTTTCACACCTGTTTATATATCGTGGGATCAGTAGGTCATAAGGTTACAAACTACATATCAAATTAATGAAGGAAGTCTCAGAAATTTATTTTGTATTCATTACATTTCCACCCAGTGACCACTGGGATTGGCTCCAGCTCCCCCCTGCGACCCAGAAGGATAAGCGGCTTAGAAAATGTGTGTGTGTGTGTGTGTGTGTGTGTGTGTGTGTGTGTGTGTGTGTGTACATTTTCATATCTTAGTCCAGTACAGACAATTCAATTGTGAGTGTGCATTTGTGACAAGTTGCTTAGTGAAAGTTAGCTTAGTGCAGGACATTAGCAGAAGACACTGTAAAGTAATTTTCCATTTTTTTTACTTCAGAATGTGGAAAATGGCAAATCTGTGCTCACCTCAGCTCGCAGCTTTCTTGACTTTCCCAGACAGGATATGTCATCAGACCAAACAGATGCACAAAACTAGTATCCCTCTTTTAAGTAGCACCCTCTGATATTGGAAATATTAACAGTGTGTTGACATCCCGTGTGACAAGATGCCCCGGTCTCCCCTAGCACCAATTAGCACTAGCGGCCAAGTTGTTAGGTAATCTCAAATGTACTTCTTTAGCCCTATTCAGATGGGATTAGTTTTATATGGTAAGATGGCATAATTATTACCAGGATTTCTCATTAGCACTGCTTCTCCACTCCAGTTCAGAACTGATATGAGGCATGTCTTCACTGATTGACTACACTGACACTAGTTTGAGTAAAATTATAAACACTTGAAGTAACAGCATAAAAAGTTCAGGGATTTACAAACATTTTCTCTCTCTTCCCCTCCACTCATGAACATTTCAGAGCCCACCCTGAACCCCAAAAAAACATATGAGTATAAATATGAAGGAGTGGTGAGAATCGGGCGTGACATGGCAGACCTGGCCGAGTCTGGGGTCAAAATGCAGTGTACTTTCAAAATCACTGGAGTATCAGTCCAGACCTTTCTCCTTCAGGTATGCTCAACATCAAAAAGACCATTTTTTTTCATTAAAATGATATAATAACTGTAGGCCAGGGCAGCACTGGGTAGCGCTGTCGCCTCACAACAAGAAGGGCCTTGGTTCGATTCCCCGGCCGGGCAACCAGGTGTGGAGTTCTCCCCGTGTCTGCATGGGTTTCCTCCCACAGTCCGAACACATGCACTCAGATGTTAAATTGCCCGTAGGTATGAGTAAGTATGTCTGTGTGTCTGCCCTGTGATGGACTGGCAACCCGTCCATGGTGATTCCTGCCTTCTGCCCAATGAGTGCTGGGATAGGCTTCAGCAACCCAGAAGGATAAGTGGCACAGAAGATGAATGAATGAATGTTTATGTAGTCTTTTTAAATATTGTATAGACTTTTTGTGTCTTAGAACTTGTAATGAAATCTCTAAAACTTGGATATTGTTGCAATCATAAGAAAATTTTCTTTATAATGACAGGAAAAAAATTAATACATTTAATAATTGGTATTATAAGTCATTTTTGACCATTTCTTTTGGTCCACTCATCAGGAATGTAAAGGTCAGCCGGCAGTTACAAGATTTTAACATGACAGTGAGGATCAAAGTAACAAAGTGCTGATCTTTTTTGACTGAGCATCATCCTGAAACATGACAATATATACAATTATAAGCAATGAATAAGTAAACAGGGTTGTGAAAGATGACTGTGAAGGAATTATTGGATCTTTTTGGTAAATATTTAGTGAAATATTTAGTAAAAATGAATGCAGCCTATGACAAATTATGTTGATTTTCTAGATCTACAATATGGTATTTGAGGAGTTCAATGGAATTCCAGGACAGAGCCTATTTAAGGTCTCGCCCAACCTCACCAAACGCTTAGCGGCCGAGCTCAACAGACCCTTCACGTTTGAATACTCAAAGGGACAAATAGGTGACATTAAGACAGCAGGCGAAGTCTCCAACACCATTGTGAACATAGTGAGAGGCATTGTGGGATTTCTGCACGTCACAGTCAAGACCACCCAGAGAGTTTATGAACTTAATGAGGTATCTCATCTTAATGTTTCCTTCAAATTCAAAGTGCCTTCCTCGGAATATTACATGTGCTTTGTTTTTGCGTCCTCTCAGTTGGGAATTCATGGAGTATGCCACAGTGCTTACGCGATTGAGGAGAACGCAGCTTCCAAAGAATTGTATGTGACTCAGATCGTTGACATTAATGATTGCCATCAAAAAGCTGCAGTGTATCGTGGGATGGCGCTGGCTGAGGAAAACAAAAACACCCAACAGGTTTGTATACCTAGTTATCCAACATGTAATAAGCATCCCTCTGTGACATGATAGATTCTCAAATATCTACAAATGAGCTAAATAAACACACGATTCTGTATATGTACATAATAATTGCAATACTGTGAAATCTGGGCTTTCAGAGGGGTGACAATGCTGTTGCCACAGTGAAGTATGCATATACAGTGAAGTCTGTAGAAGGTGGTGGTCTGATTACAAAAGCTTCTGCTCAGGAAAGGCACCACTTTACTCCATTCAACGTTAAGGGGGGCAACTGTAAACTGCAGGCCGCGTAAGTCCATTTTATTTTGCCACAAAGTACCATAACTGACCAAAACAGCTTTACCACACATGTTTATATGGTCAGCAGGCAAAGGAACCTAGTAGCCACTTAATTAAGTAAAAGTGCCAAAAATTGGAGCAATACCATAGAAGAACCACTTTTGGTTCCCTAAAGAACCTTTTAACACAAACGCATTTTTGTAAATAAGATATGTGAGAACATTTTAGAAACCTCCACGTGATGTAAATGTTCTACAGTCTTAAAAAGGATGGTTCTTAAGAGGTTCTTTAGTAAAGACAGTGTTCTATGTAGAACCACGAATACTCAAAGAACCATTTGCATGTTTCAATGGTTCTTTGCATTGTGAAATCTTCAGACTAATGGAGAATGTGTTGTATATGGTTCTATATAGCACCAAAAAGGGTTCTTTTATTATTAAAAGCTTGCCATCATAATAATAGAAGAACCGTTTTAGGTGCAATAAAGAATGATTTTCAAAAAGGCTCTATATAGAACCAAATATATTCTTTATCAATCTGAAGAACCATTTCACCATGCAAAGAACCATTTTAGCATGAAATGGTTCTATATAGAACTCACGGACCTAAATAGAACCACAGTCTTTACTAAAGAAGCCTTGAAGAACCATATTTTAAGAGTGTATACTAATTAAAGTTTTTTCTACACACTTAAAAACATGGTTCTTCAGGGGTTCTTTAATAAAGAAAATGGTTATATATAGAACCATGAACACCCAAAGAACCCTTTGCATTACTGAAAGTTTCTTTACATCATGAAAATGTTCTTCAGACTGATGGAGAGTGTGTTTTATATGGTTCTATAGGGTTCTCTATAGCACCAGAAAGGGTTCTTCTATTGTCACAGGCTTGACATCATAATGACAGAAGAAGCCTTTTTAGTGCTTTTTAGAACCCTTTTCAAAAAGGTTCTATATAGAACCATGTACAGCACATTCTTAATCAATGTGAAGAACCATTTAGCGATGCAAAGAACCCTTAATCATACAAAGGGTTCTTTGAGTCTTTTCTTTTCTGAAGAACCCTTAAAGAACCATCATTTTTAAGAGTGTAGAACTGTATGTCCAAGCTAAGAACCATTTAGGGACTTGTTTTCTGAGAAGTGCATTCCTTTAAATATGTGGGCAATCAGTGCTTTACAGCAGCTAAACTGGCTGGTCAATGCTGCTTTACTTTGCAGGCGGAACATTGTGCTACTCAAAGAGATGGACACTGTTGGGAAACCTGTGACCGGTCAAGTGAAAAACAGGGGAAATTTGATGTATAAGATGGAAAAGGGTGTAGCTCCAATTCCAGTTGTGATGATAAACCTAAATGATCCCGTGCCCAAGGTTTGTCTTGCAAATGAAGGTTACAGTCAGATGCAGAAAACAAATCAGTTCTTTTCACTAATTTTACTCACCAATTTCAATAGATTGCCAACCTAATCAAACGTTTGGCCCAAGGTAACATCTACCAACTGAACAGCACCATGAGTTCTGATGTTCTTGCCCTTATTCAACTCCTGCGAGCATCAACACATGACGATCTAGAGCTGTTGTGGAAGCAGCTATCAGGAAACAATGAGCACAGGTATTTATGTGCCACTGATCAGGGCAAGGAACCTGTAAAGAATGAGACAGATCTACTTATGTGGAAGTTTCATATGTTCTCCATGATGACTTCTTCTTGACTAGGAGGTGGTTCTTGGACACAGTTGTCGAGGTGACAGATGAAAGGGTGCTCAAGTTTCTAAAAATCAGATTCAAAGCTGGAGATATCACTGCAAGTGAAGCTGGACAGGCAGTTTTGGTGGCATTTAACCATCTATCAGCTGAGCCTGAACTAGTGGAGTCGGCAAAGGTAAAGACTGCATATCAGAGGTGTAAATCTTTGACCTCACAACAATTTGATCTGATTACAATTCCATTCTGAAATCTCAAATTAGATAAAAATTTCATTTTGGTTCCATTCAGAATTTTTAAAATATGGCGCGGGAGGGCCCCTGGCAACCAGGCACCCTCAAATCTTTATTCAGCCCTTCACATAGATAGTGATACAACAGTGCACCCATGATCAATTTCTCAACAATGTATCTCACCTGTTGGCTTCCAACAACACTACACAGGCAGCCCTGGAATCTACTTATCTCCTTGTTTATCTCTTAGAATGCATCACATTTATTGTAACAGTTCACAAACATATCCTTCACTCATTGTAAAACATTATTTCATCAGTTTAAAAATGACTTCATAACAAGCAATTTTACTGGTTTTCATTCAAATAAGTACTTGAATGAAAGCAAAATTTTAGTTTGAATGAAAAAAGTAAGCAATATATCAATTCAAACCTCAAAAACACATTCAAAAACTGTTTCACTATGATAGTACAAGATGTGCAATGTCAGGGATATGTAGGTTGGTTGCGAGTGCAAAATGGCTTTATTTGGGGCAGTCTAGTACTCATTACCTAAACAAGCAGGGTTCTAAACAAAGGCAGGCAACAAATCCATAGTCAAAATCCAAAAAGACAAGCAGGAATCAAAAACAGGGAAAATATCAGCACATAGAAAACAGACTCAGAACCTGCATATCAAACACAGACTTTGCAAAAACTAAACCAAACAAAGCGGTTTGTAAAAGCGAATAATGAGTCCTGGGGCGCGTTCAATGTCAAAACGAACATGTTTCTCTGACATGGTGTGAAACGGTGTGCAGGTAGGTTTGGTGGGAGTGTCAGAGGTGTTACCCAATGAGCAGTGACCTGTATGTAGACCCCACTATATTAAAAAGGCAAGTACACATAATGGGTTCTGATAAAGGCCTCTACAAATGTGGCCTCTGCAACTTGGTGTACCCAACTGAAGACATTAGAAGACAAGTTTGTTATAAGTATTTTAGTGTAAAGTTTTTTTAATAGAACATGATAGGAAGATGCCAAGAATGGCCTTCTCAGCCGCCATAGTTGCAATGCTTGCGTAACACAATAGAGAGGTCAGCGCACCACCTGTTAAAATAAATGTTTTGCTAACATTTTGCATTCAGCCCAAGTTTTCGCTTTTCTCTGACTTTGGAGCCTTAGATCTCGGCTGTGCTTTACTTCTAAGGTCCCAAACTTTGCACCTTCCAACGAGCCTATCCACGTCCTTTTAGCTATTTCCGTTCCGGAAATATAAGCCTGGGAAGGTGACACTATAGCCAGGGGACTTTAAAAGCTTACCGGAGCCCTCATGAAAATCCTACCACCACCAACTTTCACCAGCTTACACACAAGACCCAGACCTTTATCAAATGGTGACCCCTGAGTCGATACTCCATACCGTTCCCAAGATACGACCATGTTCCCGGGGAATTTCAAACGCCCACCTGAATGCAGGCCTGGAATCACTTGCAGGTGTGAGTGGGTGGAGCCTCCTCAGAGGGGGGAAAACAACCTGCAACATGACATTCATTATTTACAATTCTAAAAACCTAAATAGGTGGTCTAGCATAAACATTTAGGTCAGAGGTCAGCCCTGGTTCTGCTCCTCTACCTTCCAACCACAACTTCTAGTTCCAACCACAATCTGCCACACCTGCTCCAGCTAATTAGCTTCTTCACAAGTTCCTGATTGGCTGAATTCGAGGCATTAGTGTTCTGTAAGGGGGATGGGCAGCATGTTAGATGTAGGTGGGAACTGAACTCTGCAGGAAAGTAGCTCTCCAGGACCAGGGTTGGAGACCACTGATTTAGGTTAATATTCGATGCTAGTGGGTTAAGTGACGTGCCTTGAGAGCATCAGCTTGTTTAAAACACAGCAATAGAGAGCAAACAAACAAATTACTTGTCATTAAGGCCCATAAGGTCCTAGTTACGGCACTGGTTCAGTGTGAAGCTAGCAGTGGCATCAGTTATACAGAATTGGGCAGTTAGTGTCCTCTTCTATGGATGTTCAGTGGTCCAGTGTCCTTGCAAGAGTGGCAGCTGGAAATGACGTGGTGGCTACACTCACACGTCGGAAGAAAGCATGTGCTAGCCCTTTCTCTCCCCAGGGTGAGATAAAAAACACGTGATTGCGTTTAAAGAAAATAAAAAATAAAAAAAATAACTTTTTTTTTCCTGTTTTTGAAAAGATTGCAAAAAAAAACATGAATTTTATAATATTATAAATAAAAATTGAGAACACATAATTAAATAGTATTACAATCAGTTATAATCAGTGCAGATATCACAAAATCGATGTAGTTGAATTTTCACCCTCGGATCAGTACATTTTTATACATCTACTGCATTTGTTCTTTTGAAAAAAAAAAAGTGAGGCTCTTAAGGCTATTAGGTGAACGTAAGACTGATCTTCCTCATGTCCACTGCAGGAATTCTTGACCATCCCCTTCAGTAAGTCCCATTCTCTCCTGTGGAACACTGTGGTCTTATCATATGGTTCTCTGGTGTACAGAGCGTGTGCTCATGAGACCCCCTGTCCAGTCAACACAGTGCAGGTATGATGATAAACTGGGTCTATAAAAGCACTTTGATGTGTGCTAATTAAGTTAGTTTTCACTCTCTTTATTTTTCATTCTCTTTATTTTTAAATTTTTTTTTTCAGCCACTGCTTGACATGGCAAATAATGGACTCACTAAGAAGGACGATAAAGACATGGTGCTCGCTCTGAAGGCTTTGGGAAACGCAGGCCACCCTTTAAGTATTAAGACCATAATGAAGTTCCTTCCTGGTTTCTCGGTAAAGGCTGACAGCCTCTCCACCAGAGTTCAAAGCCTGGCTGTGCAGTCCCTCCGACACCTCGCCAGCAGAGACCCTCACACTGTGAGCACCAGCGCTTGTCATACTGCTTTTCAGTGATTCTGAGAAGCTAACATTTTTTTGTTTTGTTTAGGTTTTTATTTTTATTACACTATTTTGAAACGTCAGCTGATCTCTACGTTTTATGGACATTTTACACAAAATAGTCAATAGAAAAAACTGAAAAGTAAACTTTTTATGCTCACAGATATTACGTTAAAATCTTTCTTCTCTCTTTTACACCAAACATTTGGTTCTTCAAAGGTTCTTTAGTAAAGATACTGATTCTATATAAAACCACAAACGATCAAAGAACCATTTGCATGCTTAAACGTTACTTTGCATGGTGAAATGGTTCTTCAGATTGATGGAGAATGTGTTGTAGGATGTTCTATATAGAAACTTAGCTTGATATTGAAATGATAGTAGAACCCTTTTTAGTGCTACATAGAACCCTTTTCAAAAAGGTTCTTTGTAAAATTGTTTTTCAACTTCCTAAAACTCATGCTCTCTCTCCAGAATTCCTTTTCATTATTATTTCCATTGTTTTCTTGAATGCAATGAATTCAGGAAATGCAAATTTAGTTTACATTTGATTTTTTCCTCTTTCAGGTGCAGGACATTGCCCTAACCATCTTTGCAGAGAGGACTCTTCCTGCTGAAATCAGAATGCTAGCTTCTATGATCCTGCTGGAGACGAAGCCTCCCGTAGCTCTAATCTCAGCTGTGGCAGAGCTGCTCCTGCAGGAGACGGACCTCCAGGTGGCCAGCTTCACTTACTCTCAGCTCAGAGCCATCTCACGCTCCCGCACGCCCGACAATCAGCACCTGTAAGAGCACTACAACACTGTCTGTGTTAATATTCTCAAATGTTTAGCATAAATCTAACCTCTCCTTCATAACCATCCCTTTAAAAGGTCCACAGCATGCAATATTGCAGTGAAAGTACTTGCTCGGAAATTTGGGCGCTTAAGTTACAGATACAGCAAGGCTCTTCATTTGGATTGGTTTCGTGGTAAGTTGAGGATACCGATGCATTTCTAATTTGCATAATCATGCATATTCATAGATTGTTGCTGTCATACATTATGCTTACCAGCACTAAAGATTTACAAAGTATGTTTGATCTTCTTCAACTTCCAGCGTTATTTATCTACACTCAATGAGCACTTTATTAGGTACACCTACCTTGTATCTACACTTACTGTCCATTTTATCAGCTCCACTTAGCATATTGGTGCACTTTGTATTGCTACAGTTACAGACTGTAGTCCATCTGTTTCTTTGCATACTTCATTATCCCACCTTCATCCTGTTCATCAATGGTCAGGACCCCCATAGAACCATCACAGAGCAGATATTCAGATGGTGGATCATTCTCAGCTCTGCAGTGACACTGATGTGGTGGCGTAGTGTCTGTTACTTTTGGATCAGACACAGCAGAGCTGCTGGAGCTTTTAAACACTGTGTCCACTCACTGTCAACACCTATGTTGAACAGTCAGGGATGATAGCTCATCTGTTGCTGCCACAGTTTGTGTTGGCCATCCTTTTGTCCTTCATCAGTGGTCACAGAACGCTGCCAACAGCATGCTGTTGGCTGGATATCTTTGGTTGGTGGACTATTCTCAGTCCAGCAGTGAAACTCCAGTAGCACTGCTGTGTCTGATCTGCTCATACCAGCGCAACACACACTAACACGCCACCACCACGTAAGTGTCACTGCAGTGCTGACAATGATCCACCACTCATAAAATACCTGCTCTATGGTGGTCCTGTGGGGGTCCTGACCATTAAAGAACAAGATAAAGGGCGGATAACAAATTACAAAGAGCACCAATATGGTAAGTGGAGCTGACAAAATGAGTGTAGAAACAAGGTAAGTTTACCTAAGAAAGAGCACAGTAAGTATTTACTGCTTCACTGAGAGTCTGCTTTACTCTTTAGATGAGCTATTGACTGGCACGTCGAGTGAGTTTTATTTGCTGAGAAATGGTACAAGTACAATGCCCACAGAAATCATTTCAAAAGGAAAACTTTACTTCATCGGAAGAATACTTCAGCTTACCGAGGTAACTGGAAAGTAACTGTATAAAGACATCATTTCAAATGCTCTTTTATTATGACCCATTTAGTTCATACTGTAGAGGTTGTTTTGACTAGACGTCCATATTTACGCAGCTTGGTGTTCGTGCAGAGGGCCTGAAAGAGCTGTTCACTGACAGACCTGAGATCACCAAGGATTTTGCAGCTACTGACTTTGCAGCAATTATGAAAATAGTGAGTAAATCAGTTTGGGTACTTGAAAACACAGTGAGAATTCCAAATCAGCACATTCTACATGATTCTCATTCCGCTTTGTTATAACAGTATACTATATTAAGTATACAGTACAGTTCATTCTGTATAGGTGAAATGACATGCTGTAAACTGTAGTTGTGAAACTAATTCATTTCTTCATTCCCATTGAAAGCTCTCAGATTGGCAGTCCGTCCCCAAAAATAATCCTCTCTTATCTGTACATGCGAGGGTCTTTGGGCAAGAGGTCTCCTTTCTAGATTTGAATCAAGATGTGGTTCAACAGATTCTAAAGGTAAGCCTGCATCATAGGTGTCAACCCATACAATATACATGTATAAAATATGGTTTTGTTGCAATTCTGAAGGTAGATGGCCGCATAAGTCTGGGATACAGGAAAGCCAGACTAATACAAACTCTGGCCAATAATTCTGTCAAGCTCTGATTTGTTTTTCAAGTATGATTCTGTATGAAGTAATTGGTATCATCAGAGATATTTTACAGTAAAGAAAATCAAAACTGGATAAATTACTGTTGTTGCTAATAATTTTAATGGTAAAAATGTATTATATGGGTGCAGTCATATGCAGTTTGAACCCCCTCCATCAAATTAAATTTTCTAAGTGAGAGCTTTAGTGCATTGTTTCTGTTTATCTGCTGATGTGCTGTAACTTTAGCGAGTCACATTCTATGTTTTGTTCTCACATTCTATGTTTTGTTAAATTCAGCAAATACGCAAAAGAAAATAAAAACTCAATGAAAAAAGTAATTGTGTATTATGATGTGCAGTGGTGTCTACTCTGTAGAGGATGTGTTAACCTGTTTTTACTTAGAAAATAAACAGAACATTTGACCACGTAGCATAAGTTGACACTTATGCTACATTAACAATCAGATGAAATAATTCATTACCCTCTTAGTTGTGCTGATGTAATGTTTTGAGTGGTTCCTGTGGAAGAGAAAACTTATGTTATTCGTTCTCCATCATTAGTCTGTGAGTCTCACTGCAAGTAAAGAAAACAAAATCTGGAACATTATTCAGCATCTACAAAAGGGAATTTCATGGCACTGGACAAAGCCGTACCTTATACTGGAAACCCAATTCATTCAGCCAACCTGCCTCGGCCTGCCCGTCGAAATCAGCAAATATTTATCTGCACTGACTGCCATTACTGTAAATGGTATAACCTGCTTTTATTTCTTTTAGCTCCACTATTTTAATACTATGAAAGTGCAAAGATGAACTAAGACAATGATTTTTGCAATTGCAGTAAAAGCTGTTATTAACCCACCTCCAAAAGAACACCTGCGTGAACTGCTCAACGCAGATGTATCCCTGCAAACTGATGGATTTTTTGGGTAAAGTAGACATCTGCAGAACATGATATATAAATAAATAAATAAAAAATATATATATATATATCTGACTTTGACTGGTTGTGCCACCTGACTTTTCAGACTAATTTCATATAGGCATCTATTTAGACACCTGTAGAGACCTTTGTCCTTGAACCTGAGTTTATACTTAAATTTTTTTCAAACAAATAAACCTAAACCCAAAAAAAGTACCTTTTTTGATAGTTTAATTAATCAACATACACAGTTGGATGATTGCACCAAGTGGCATTTTTAGACTTTTGAAAAAGAAAAATGAAATGAATTAAATGTGGATGCATTGAAAAGTGTTGCACAGATACTGAACAATGTGATATATGTCTTTTATTTATTAAATTATTTTTAGGGAAAATAAAGGACTTGGACACAAAAAATGCACATCATGTCAATGACCCATTTATATATGTATGTTTGTGTGTGTGTGTGTGTGTGTGTGTGTGTGTGTGTGCGTGTGTGTGTGTGTGTGTGTGTAAAATTGTGAATGAAACTTTATGAAAAGTCTACTTTTAGGGGTCTACTACTGTAGTAAATTTAACATTTTTTAATTTTATGTACATACTAGCATAGACTAACTTTTTCTTTTGTTTCAGAGTGGCAAAGGATTTTTTTGTTTTCCATGGGATCAATACAGAGCTATTTCAGTGCGGCGCCCAGCTAAACAGCAAGATGGTTGTGGCTTTGCCTTGGAAAACTGACTTGAAAAAGAATGCCAAAGAAAAGAATTATGAGCTCAACCTCACCCCATGCAAAAAAGCTACGGAGCTCTTGTCAGTCAAGTATGTCATCCAAGATTTTTACCTAAAAATATTTTATATACTAAAAGTCAATAAGAATATATTCACAGATTTAAGGAAGACCCCGGAATTTTTCAACCTAATCTCTATCTGCCACATTTATAGCATATGGTAGAATACCATGGACAGTAATTTCAACACATTCCCCAGTTAAACAAGAGAAAACCAGTTCACTCAAAATACACTTATAATAGAAAGCATTGGGCATGTGCTGAATTCCATAATTAAACACATATGTTTTCATGATTACTTCAGGTATTTTAAAATAAAACTGTAAAACTGTCAGTCTTTTCAATAGTATTTCAATTTCCACAGTATTTCAAATGTGTATTTGCATAATTCAGCAACTGCCCAATAGCTTCTATCACAAGTTAGCTTCAAGGCTGTAGTTTATCAGTTCTTTTCTACATACAGATAAATGTATCAAAAGTACTGTAAGTAATCAACTGGATATCAGAGTGAGGCCTTCAGTTCAGGCCATGAACATCAAAACTCAGTCAAAAATGAAAAACGTATAGGATGTGAAATAGTATTGGTGCAATGCTAATATTGATACACATTTTTGGCCATTCTAGATTAAAAATTAACATTTGAAACTTGTCAAATACATAATTTCATATCATCTCTGTCAGCTCATGTCTGCAAAATGGTGACTTTACAGGATGTAATGGACGTTAATGGTAGATTTATTTCCAATTAATGTTAGACTTTTTTTTTGGTCTGTTCAGCTTGAAATAAAAAAATGCAGAGGGGAAACTAGAGTTTTCAACTTATGCAAAAGAGTAAAAAACAATAACCATGGAGATACAAGGTCTTTGCATGACAGCAACGGTATGATTTATTTGAAGCTGGTAACAGATATTAGCATAAATTTTACCTTGTTGCAGTTTTACAGTGATTCAGTAAAGAGCTTTGTCATTGACTAAAATTTGGTTAGGCTACTACACACATTCGCAGTCAGTGACATATCTGTGATATGCATATCTTGTAGAAGGTTGTTATTTCAGAGTGATATTTCCCATAAAATTGGTCCAACCCAATATAACATGTTTAACTGAATCCGCTGTCACTTTCTAGTTATGTCAGTAGTTAGTCTGACTTGTAAGACCTTAAGTTCATCTCCTGAAGGCCTAACCAATGGGAAAGCTTACTATAGGGCTGTATCTACACTATATACCATGAAAACTCAATGAAATAGGAGTAATTCTACAATTTGGAGGATTTAAATACAATAAGCATAATGATGCTATTAAATGAAAATGGATTACAAATTTCAGGCGTGTATTTTTAAATTCATTGACGTCATTAGGCCTTCTGTCCAGAGTTCCCCACTGATACAGATGCAGAAGACAGAGATTACAGTAAAAAATGCTGAAATTTATTATTTGTGTCTTTCTTGAACAGTTCTGATGTTTACGCTGTGTCAAGAAATATTGAAGATCCACTGTCAGCCAAAATGACTCCCATGATGTCAGATGTTGGAGATTTTGAACAAAGTTTCGCAGCGAACAGGAAAGAAACAGACAAAATCAGAGATTATCAGGTACAATATGCATTACAGTTCTGCATACAGGAAAGAAACACATCTTCATTAACTATTAAAAATTAATTGTGCATGTTTGTGGACCAGGATGAAGGTTCAGAGATATATCACCCAAAACTGAAGTACTGTGCTCAAGCAAGCACTTACGGAACTGCATTCTGCACTCAAGCGGAAGCTAAACGAGTCTATTACCTTAAAGAATATCCTCTATATTACTTCTTAGGATACACTCACTTTTCATGTCAACTTGAGCCAGGTATGCTGTATTATAAATGACACCAAGTGTAAACTGATGCTATGACAAAAATTATATTGTTGCTGTCTGAACAAAACCTTTTTGTTTATTTATTTATTTATTTTTTTTTGATAATTTAAAAATGACATCTGCTCCTTATATATTCCTTAATCAATGAACCAACAGAAAGGTTCAAAAAGACATTTTTACATTAACGTTTTTAAAAGTCTCCTGCAAAGCTAGCATTTTGGAGATGAGGTTTTGTCCAGACAGTGTCAATATACAAGAACTGAATTCCTGAACTGCCATAATTAATGGAATTTTTCTCTTCATCCATATTTCAAAAGTCAGGTCGGTTAAACCTGTTGAAAAGATTAAAATCCAGATCAGTGTTGGCCCTCAAAAACACAAACCGGAGGTCAGTCAAATGATGTTCACTCAAAAACTGTTTAAGGTACTGTAACACTTTAATTTTCTATATTTGAATTGCTTACCATGACAACAAAAACTGAAACAGCATCCAGCCAAAGTGTGTTTATTTCTTTCATTTAGAAAATGAACTCATCACATAGCTCCATTCTTGGATCAAGACTACTTCAGGTAACCAAAAGCCAATGTCCAAACATTGTGTTTACATGCACTTAATAATCCAATAACTGCAGAAAATCAGATTTTGTCAGTAATCTAATCAACACATTTACATGCACTTGAGTAATCAGATAATGGGGAAAATCCGGGTCTACATGAGTCAGGCAGTAATCGGATTTCTGCATTGCAACCAGCCAATAAACTCACAGGATAAGACGTGACGTGAACGCAACATAAACTCAAACGTCATGCCGCGTCATTTTTTTAACGTCGCGCCACTTTTCCTAAAAATATGAACATACATCATTTAGAAGATGAAGAATATTTAAATCCTTTATTTCACATTTGGTTTCAGCGTCACTCCAAAATTGTTTTGCGGCAAGGCTGCTGATTTCCGGTACCCTGGTTTGTTCTCACACATGTACAGACTGAGAAATCCAATAGAAATCGGAGTACAAATATACATGCACTGAGAAATCTGATTACTCAGATAAAATCCAGCTCTCTTTATCAGATTTCTTAATCAGATTTTAGATCAGAGTATGGTGTTTACATGACCATTTAAATAATCAGATAACTACAGAAATCCGATTGTGATCAGATCATTGAGTACATGTAAACACACTCAATGTTTCAATCTAAATATTAATAATATTAATGGTAATAGTAATGGTACTACTAATAAAATTAATTAGGGAAGTCAGCGTCCAGATTTTTGCCCGAGTCCAACCCACATACTTTAAAGTTGAGTATCGACCAATCCAATCTTTGTATTCATAGATAATATAGCCACACAATTTAGGTAAGACAGAAGTCTGCAAGTTGAATATCACAGTAAAGTCAAAAAGTCGACTAGTCTGTGCAAACTCTATATGTGATATGCACATATTAGTATACACTCTAAACGTATCTTTTATTTTCTGGGGGGCGGGGGTATTACTTATGCAAAATACAAAACTATATTGTTGGGAATAGAATGTCACATTGTTGTAACGCGACTGTTCGGTAAAGCAGAACATTTTCAAAAATACTTGATTGAAAATGATGGCGTGCCTAGCTCAAACAGTGGAAACACTGATGCTGCAGTCTTTCATAGCCCACTGTAAAATAAGTCCACACTGCAGACTTTTAGATCTCTTAAACAGCTGAAAACACGCCTCACTTCTTCAGGTTGTGAATAATGCCAGTTTACATCACCTCTGTGACAGTGGAGTAACAAAAAAACAAGAAATAAAGGATCGGAACTAGATTGGGCTTCATACAGCCGATACTTAATCCATTAAAATATGCCTGAATCAGTTCTGATCCTAACCCTTTGGACATCGCTATTAGCTAAATTAATTAATTATTATTATTATTATTATTATTATTAATAATAATAATAATAATAATAACAAACTGTGCCATACCTCTATTTCTGAACTCGTTTTCTATCTTTAGGGCACAGATGCTGCTCCTGAGACTGTGATCTCAGTGAGAGTGCTGGCCGTCAGTCCTAATGTAAAGGCGCTGGGTTATGAGGCTGCTGCCTATTACACTTCAGCCGAACAAAGAGACGACATAGAACTGATAGTTTCTGAGGTGGCTGAAGAGGTGAACTGGAAAATTTGTGCCGACCTGAGTGTTCAAAAAATCCAAGCAGGAGCAAAGGTAGGCATTTTATTTCAATGGCATTTCTGCATCCAGAGATTTAGGTTAAGACTGGGATTGAACTATTCCATAGTGTAGACAACTACTTACCTAGCTAGCAAGCATAGTAGTTGACCACGGTAATGGCAAATAACCAATACTTCAGGACTGTTTCTTTTAAAAAAAAATGTGGTCTTCAGGGTGGAACAGGCTTTAAGGTTGTGGGTGTCAAACGTATTGTGATCTGTCTGGGACATAATTCTATAATAAATGATGCATTTTGCCAAAATTCTACACCTTTTGGTGAAAACTGGGTGGTCCAACTCTTGGTTAAAGCTTAAGAAAGCAATCCCCTCACCAGTCACAGGCTGATGTGGCCAGTCCAACCCACACAGCTTTAACAAAACTGGGTTCCCATACGGTATCCATCTGTTCTAATTACATAGCAATAGCTAAGAACCTAACCCAGCAAGCGTAACAGAGCTAGCAAGCTACCTCATCCATCTGTCCATTGGTCCTTTCATCCAATCAGCCATGCTAACAGCTTCTGTTTCACTCATTTCTCTCCACTCATGCTGCTGTGTTTAGTTCTGCATGACTGAAGGATGTCAATCACACTTGCTCATTAAAATATCAGGGCTACAGCCATACAGTTCACAGAAAAGGTCATTAAAGCTGTTAGATTTTGCTGTCGCACCAGTTCTTTCCTGCTAAATCGTGTGTACTTTTTAGGCCCACTTCAAATGGGGTGCTGAGTGTCAGTCTTATGAAGTGGCACTGAAGGTTTCTACCGCAGGCATAACTGGACCAAAGCCCTTTCTAAATGCAGAAATTAACTGGGGAGATGTGCCTTCATTCATGCAAGCGTTGGGCCAAAGGTAACTTAAACCATATCTTAAGGAAATGTGAATTATTTGCTCTGTTTTTGCTCAGCTTGACAACAGCAATGATAATCAAAGTGGACGATTGATTTTTTTACAAAACAAAAGTCTTCCAGATAAATCACAGGGTCTCAAAATTGAAATGGAAATCTGTGCACCCCAGGATGTGTTCTATCAGTTTGGTTTATTCAATATCAGTGGTGTGACATGGTTTTGCCAACTGGGAGGGCGGTGACATTGTTCACTGTATTATCACTGTAACGTTAACTCAGCGGCTTAGTCTCACACCGTAGCACCCCTGCTTCTTTTCTGCCTGTGGTCATCTGCAATCTAGCTGATAAAATGAATGCTCAGCATATCATAACTAATTGTTTTCAACATTGTTCCTCCATTCTAATAATGCACATAAAACCACTTGAGCGCTAACATCTCTCCCTTGTGAAGAACCTTCAGCCAACTTAAGTGAGCATGAGTTCCAATCCAAACAAATAAAAACACTTGACAAAATAGCTGGACATCAACCCAGAGATCAACACAAGACTTAGAAAATCAACAAAACATGCCATTTGACCAGGGGTGTTCAGACTTTTGCATACGACAGCATACAGAGCTAAAAGATCAACCATAACAATCAACTGTTGACATAAAAATAGTATAACATAGTATTTTGTTAGTTGGGATAGTCACCAAAACTCGTATTTGTTCTATTTACATTTATGTCTGCTTAGAATTTTTCAACATGATTTCTCTCAAATGGCTTTAAAATTAGTGACTTAACTGAATTAGCAGGTTCGATATTTTGATAAATCCCGATTACTGAAGCTTTTGATTGGAGAAAACCTTTCCAATCATGTATTAAATGAATGGCATATTCAGAAAATATTGCTGTAGATGGATTAATTCTTGGATTACAAAAAATAGGTCCAAATACTGGTAAGTTGGCACTGTGATAATAATTTATAGCTGAACATACGTCAGACTAGAAGAAATGGTTATAGACTTCCATAAAAGTAAACATGAGCCATTGCAGATTAATGGCAGACACTGAGGGAGTGTATATAGGTGGAACATTTTCAATTCCTGGGTTAATTCACATAATCTGTCATGGCATCAGTTTAAGCACGTCAGAGTGTCTGTGGAGACCAAGAGGCATTTCTATAAAGTAGATCAAGAGTCAAGAGCTGTCTCAGTCACTGTCTGGTATGGGAATACAGCAGCTCACGGCAGGAAACATCTGGACAGGGTGGTACTGCTGTGACCTTCCCTCCGTGTCTGTCATCTTTTATTCCTGTATCTAGTGCAAAGCTCTCGAGGTCTCCTTAAACCTTCTCAGCCAGCAAACAAGTTGAGATGCTTCCCTCTAGGAACAGATGGAGGTCCGCTTATACACAAACTATTAGATATAAAAATAGTACAGTCACTGTCTCAAAAAAGATACTGTACAGGTATAGTTTTGTCCCCCAAGGTGTAAACAGTGTAAATGTACCCTCAAAGGTATAACATGGTCCTTGAGGTCCAATTGTGTGTAAATGAGTTTTAAAGTACATCACATTCACTTTCCCTGAGGAGAGGGGCATATCGCTACTATAAGCTTTTGAGGTAGAAAATAAAAAGTCTGGAGTCCTGACAGGCTTTATGGAGTCAATGTAGCTTAAAATATATAGAATTGCAATGGAATAGAGTAGAAAGTTCCCTAACTAAAGCATCTAAAGACATAGACCTTGATGATACTACCACAGTGACAGTATTTGTGCCCTGAAAGGTTAATTTTTTTTTTTAAGTGTACACCACTGCTATTAATCTGCTAAATACAGTCTTGGGGCAGATTTACTAATGTTCTGTGTTGTTGCAAACCTTGTTTTGCTATTAAAAAGGTAAAAGCATTTATAGGAGTTTCCCTCTCAACACACGAGACACTGGGAGGAGATGATTTTAATGAAGGATTTACTTTCTCTGATTTACTAAGGCTGATAGTAAGTTCTTACTGTGTGTTCTGTAACACCTGTAAAAAGCTTGTTTTTGGTGCTACTGTGGCTGCCATTGTTGCTGCTGAGACAGAAAAAAAGAGAAAATTTATGACACATTTATTTTCAGCTTCAGTGAAAACATTTTGTGAACCACCTCATATTATTCTTCATTTGTTTTCAGAAAGTAAAATACTGAACCAAAAGGATTTAGTAAAACGGTGTTTTAAACTGGTGTTCATTAAATCTGTGGGTGCATTTTACACTCAAAGTGCCTTAAGAACAGATTTTGTCTAAATAATGATTTGGCAGTTTTCTTTCCCATATTACTGTGAATTTTGTTTGGCTCTGCAGTTACTGCATTACTAAAGCTGCTACTTTGCTCACGTTATGGTATCTGTTACATAAATGTCACAGTTAAAGTTTGGCGCACCACACATAGCTAAAAACACACTTCCCATAAGTTTAAATCACACAGTTCCCAGTCAAGCAGGAGGCTCACAGTAAAATCAAATAAAGCAATAAGCCACAAGAGGATGCGCATTATTGCCATTTTAGCATGGGGAAGGGTGTTGCTAGGCATGACGCAAAGCTGAGAATATAAAACTCCCTTCCCCGTGCTAAAATCACTGTAACGCACAACCTCAGGTGGCTTATTGCTTTTATAAAACGGCAGCCAACATAAAACACACATTTTTTCAGAAAATTATTTAGGTCATTATTAATAATAATCGACATAAACAAATATCCTGCCAAGAAATGTAGTTCCTTTAGAGTATTGTATTATTGCAAAGCAATATATATTGTACTGTATATTGTACTGTATATTGTGGTATTTCATTAACTTTTTAACTTTTTGTTAAACTTTTTGTTTAATGCAAAAACCTTTGCTTTATAAGTACTTTTAGGTCACCAAATTACCACAGCGAGTCTTAGCACCAATCCAACCGGGCCACTGTTCTCGTGCTGGGGCTGAATCTCAAATGGCTCCCTGCTCCCTACATAGTACACTATGTGGGAATTTAAATTCTGGCTTCTGCATTCCAACAGCGTATAATATAGCTAAAAATAAGTCATTCAAAATAGTCATTTGGGATTCAGCCGCATCCATACTCGATAAACAGTGCACTACTTGGCTGTAGAAGCTAGAATTTCAATACCTCTGCAGATAGGACGCTATTTAGGGAGTACAGGGCCGTTTGGGATTAAGCCTTTAATATTGCTGTTTTACAGTGAATCATATTGTAAGTACTAATTCAAGCCTGTGATATTAATGACGGAGTTGTTTAGCCTGTTAGCTAGCTATCTTTTAGCCTGTTAGCTAGCTATATTTTAACCTGTTAGCTAGCTGACCAGCCTAGTTCTAGTTAAGAACATAAGTTGCCAGCTCCTCGGTTTGAACAAAAAACGGGTACATCAGTATACTCGGTGGTCCATGTGAGCAGCATGAGAGTCAAGGATTAATTATTATTATTAATTATAACAGCAGAAGAGTTTTTCATGACGTGCCACAGGAATACAGAGTCCAGTTGTTGTGAGGCGGTCATAGGTTTGCATCAAGTATTTTACAGCAGCTTCGAACACAGCTCAGCCAATCAGATTTTAGGATAAGGGGTTTTACAATATCACACAAATGCTAAATGCACTTAGGTTCAGCTCAAACTGCCAAACAAACGTGTTTCCAAACAGAAGGTCAAAATATTTACTTATCGTCACAAGTTATTATTTATTATGTTGAAATAATCACACACTTTTCCAACTAATAACTTATTCTTTAGTTATTAGTCATTAACTTTGACCTACTCAAAATAAAAAAATAGGTTTTAAGTCAAAACAAAACTATCATAAAATAATGTCTCAGGTGATTCATAACAATTTAACACAATCATTTTTTGGGAGGTATCTTTTAAAGGCACTAAGTTCTTCAGATGTCTGGTTCCTGTCACCAGCACTTTGGCCAATTCTGACTCAATAAGTTTCTACAGAACTGCACATTTGCCATCAACCCCCTTTGTTGACATCTTAACTATTTATGATGCAGATGTTTTGAAAAATGGGTGGGATTCTACTTTAAGGATTGCACTTTTACACCACTATTTTTCACTCATATCTCTTTAGGGTTCAGGAATACTTGCCAGGTGTGTCCTACCTCATGGGCTTCTATCAGAAACATGAGAAAAATACCGAACATGAAGTTTCAGCCATGCTTGTGGCTTCTACTCAGGAGGGGTTTGATGTCAAAGTCAAAATTCCAGAGGTGAGAGTGTGCTTTAACATCTGTGAGCATCCTCCCGTTATGTTTGACTTGTTTCCTATCAGTTAAAACATTTCATACAACCTTTAAAGATCCTATAACAACAAGAAAATGCCATAACTCCATTTTTAACAAACTTTGCTTTTGTCTTCAACAGCTAACTGTGTATCGGCAGGAAATCCCCTCTCCGTTTGAAATTGTGGGAGTTGAAAGTGATAACAGTAACATTTCTCATATATAGCATTCTTTTCTAACTGAAAGTTAATTGCTTGTAAAATCAGCTTCTATTCAACTACATTAAATTACGTTCCACTGGACGTTACACTTGAAATACAGCAACTGGCTGCAATGGCAGATATCAGCCACAAGATGGTGCAAAAGAGTGTGGGGGACGCCTGATCACGTCTATTGTTGCTGAATCGTGTGTCCATTTATAAATCTGCTTCAAAGCTTCTGTGCTGCATTGAGATGGTTAAAATACAGAGAAAATATACTTCAGTGAAAACACAAGTATTCAATTAAAAGTGGATGTATAGAGCCAAAATGATGGTTTATTGAAAGTAAAAAGTATCTACACTTAAATGTACTCGAGTATACAATTAAATGTAAATGTTTTAACAGATAAATTAAATGTTTTTTCTTAGCAATTATTCAGGTGTACTGGCCCTCGCATACAGATAAATTCAAATAGCAGTTACATTTTATACTTATATGAATTTGCTTTGATGTTTAGAAAAAAAATAAAATATACAGGAACTGGACTGATTGACATCTTCCAAATTTGTAACAAGCATTTTATAGCATAATAAGGTCTAAATGCAAATATAAGGAGTAAAAAGTATGTTTTTTCTCTTAGAAATGCAATTGAGTAAAAACACCCCTATACAGTTTCAATGATAATTGAGCAAAGTACAGATTTTTCAAAATAATGCTTAAAATAAGTAAATAAGTAAAATAAGTATAGTAAAAAAAAGTACAGTTACTGTTATTTTCAATTTCTGGTACTCTATGCACTGTAATGCATTCCTAAATAACTCTACCCATATGATTCTAATAATTCCAGCCCAAAATCATTCGCCCTTAAAAAAGCATTTAAGTTACTGAGGGTTTTTGTGCACTTGGAATTTTTTGTTTCCACTCTTTGTATTTGATTTTAAATATTATTTTTCATATTTGTTGGACAATACTGCCAAGATGATTTCATAACCCTTTTTATTTCCATGTAGAACAGCATGATTTCTTTGACTTTTTCATCAGATGGATGAAGTTTCCTAATAAATTTGTCTTAGTCGATTTTGCTTCTCTTTACTGAAGCTTATGAGAATCTACATTGATTCAGCTTGCTTTTCATATAGAATTTTAATATAATTTAATAAAAGCTTAATTTTATTTACTGTAAAAAGCACAATAAATACTTAAATAACAACTCATTTCGGGAAAATAACCTTGTTTTATTTAACAATAAATAACTATAAATAACTAAGTCAACTGTGTGAATGTGTCTTGTTTCCATAATTTATTTCATACACATAATAAAAAATAACAGTAAATGAAATTGCTGCCTTATTTTCAAAGAGTTACATTTGAAATGTTTGAAGCAAGCATTTTTTTTGGGTAGTAATCATGCAAAACCTGTTTCATGTCAGAATTCTATTTTTGCATTTTAGTGATGACACAAGTCATAACATAATTCCTAATTCACCCTAATGTAATTAATATTGTTATGCAAATTGTGGGCTAAAATTGTGAATGAATGTATAAAACATGAATTAAAATGTTGCATGTATTATTTATGAACTATATATGAACACACAAGGCAGTCAGTGTAATATTCTGAAAGGACTCCACACAAAGGTTTTAGCTTTAGAAAGAACTCAGTGTGTGTTAAACAGCTGTTTGCCTGCTTTGCCACTAGATGGAGACAGAGTTAAAGATGAATGGTACTCTGCCATTTATGTTATCTTTAGACGTTGTGTTAAAACAACTTTTCACCAAATGCAGAACTTAGATAAAGTTGAGCTTATCTTAGAGCAGCATAACTCCTACTGTTAACGGTCTCGGCACTGAGCTGTGAGTTTGGTCTTCTACATAGATGAATCCAAAACTTTTTTAGGTTTAGGAATAAAACAAAGGCAGCACTATTCTCCAGATGACCAAAATAGTGTGTGCCAGGCGACGTTCCTCGGTGACACTGTTTCACTGTTGTCACCTGAAGGAGGAAGGAACATTGAGATGACTGTGATTGGCTGAGAGGCCATTAGCTCAACAGACTGCAGACTGCAGGTCCCGGCACAATAACTTGTGGCATGGGACAAATTTTCAGTATTGCGTGGGAGTGGGTGGGAAACCAGCCCACTGCAGGCAGGAGAGGGCCTAAGCATGCATTAAGTGAAATCCTGCAAATTAAAGAATAGCCTAAATAAAATAAAAAAGTCATAATTTTGCAAACGGTTAATTGTGTAACATTAAATAAGGTACAATTAAGTTCCCTAAATGAATGAAGGTGGCCAGATTTCTGAATTGAAAACTGGAGACATTTCCAGTTCTTCATCCAATATATCGTTAAAAACATGAAGTGTTTTTATCTATGAAATAAAAATGAGGGAACAATTCCAGCATTACATTCTCACTGATTAGGCTGTGATGTTTTAGATGCTCCTGTTTTGAGGAAACTGTGGGTCAGTAGAGAAGCTCACAAGAGGGAGGGGTTTAAAAGCCAGAGATTCTCTGAAGTCTCCTCAGCTCTAAGCTGTGATGACACAGATTTGAGAGCATTTCTAAATACATTCAGCCATCAACATGAACTCTTTTTTGATCTGTGCGTTTCTTTTCTTATTCTATATGTCGGAGGAATGTCAGGGGAAGTCCCACCCTAAGCCTTCTTGTGGTTATCCTCCATCACAGTGGTGCAGGACTCTGGAAATCGCAGTGGAGTGTGGGGTAAGTTTTAAACTATTAAATATGAAACATGTCTCAGTGCTGTGACAGTGAGTCTCTGCTAGCTTTGTTCACTACTTAGGTATAATATTGGTGCACTAAATAACCTGACTGTTGTTTATTACTATATTATAGAAGCCGCAATCCTCAATTACAGTGTAATATATACTTATTTTGAAATAAGTTGTACTGAACTCAAAAATGTGTAGAGTACACTCTTTAAAAAAAGGTTCTTCAAAGGTTTTTTTTAGTAAAGACAATGGTTCTTTGTAGAACCATGAACACTCAGAGAACCATTTGCATGATTAAAGGGTTCTTTGCATTGTGAACTGCTTCTTCAGATTGATGGACAATGTGTTGCATATGGTTCTATATAGAACCTTTTTGAAAAGAGTTCTGTATAGCACCAAAAAAGGTTCTGCTATAATTACGATGACAAGCTTGTATCAATGGAAGGACCGTTTTTGGTGCTGTTCAGAACCTTTCATATCCAACAGTTCTCCATCAGTCTGCCCATTTAAGCATGCAAATGGTTCTTTGAGTGTTCATGGTTCTATAGAGAACCACTGTCCTTACTAAAGAACGCTTGAAGAACCATCTTTTGAGTTGCTCAACTCATACTCAAAGGAATGTAAGGGTTCTTTATGGTTCTTCAGATTGACCGGAAATGTGCTATACATGGTTCTATGTAAAACCTTTTTGAAAATGGTTCTATATAGCACCCAAAAGGTTTTTGCTATTGTTAAAAGCTTGACATAGCAAGAAGAACCCTTTTTGGTGCTACATAGAACCCTTTTCAAAAAGGTTTTATATAAAACCATCTATATCACATTCTCTGTCAATCTGAAGAACCATTTCACCATGCAAAGAACCGCTTAATCAAGGGTTCTTTGAGTGTTCATGGTTCTATATAGAACTATTTTCTTTACTAAAGAACCATCATTTTTAAGAGTGTAGAGCTTCTTAGCACATCCAGCATCTATCAGCATGGTTACTGATGCTTGTAAAGCTCCATTCATCTCTTTTTTTGGTACAAAATAAAATGCTAAAGCTCTAAAGACAGAGTTGAGTAACAGCCAAGCAGTTCAGAACAGAGCAGAATGAAATTTAACCCAAAATTATTTTAATTTGAGGTGTTCTCATACTCAGAGAAGTACAAGTCCATCAAATTTGGACAAATAACATAACATAAAAGTATATATAACTGAGTAAATGTAATTAGCTACGAGCCACCTTTGTGTAAACTCATGTTTTTGGCTTCACAGAGACTATTACTTTTAGAGGATACACTCCAGTGGTCTAAAGCAGAGATCTTAAGCTTCATATACAGTATGAGTACATCGTCCTAGTTCCTTTTCAAAGACTCTTTTGTGCTCCTAAATGAGTGTCATGCTTTTGAAACTGAAAATCAGCAGCTCCTAATTTGACAGAAGCATGTGCTGTGTGAGTGTCCTCTAAACAGGTTTGACTCAGACGGTCAGAGCATATGCAGTGAATTCTCACTCTAATGAATATATCTGAATAAATAATAAGCGCTTGTTTGTAGTCTGTCCTTATTTAGACATAAATGTTCTCTGCTGCTGCAGAGGCCCAAAATTTCCACTACACTCTAAAACTAAAGGGGCCAACTGGGTTCTTTGCATGATGCCACAGAAGCACTACTCTTGGTTCCCTACAAAACTTTTCAATGGATGGGTCTTACATCTTCAGAGAGGCATTTTGGTAAATGAGATGTGTAAGTGAAGAACCTTTTAGAAGTTCAAAGAACCTCCACAGAATGGTAAGGTTCTAGGATGAACCCTTAAACTTGTACAGAACATTTACACTATTTGAAGATTTTTTAAACCCTCTGTTCTTCACACTTTTTCAGATTTCTTTTTCAAACCTGGTTCTTTAGGGAACCAAAAGCTGTTCTTCAATGGCTTTAGTCAAAGAACCCTTTGCAGTGCCTTTTTTAAGATTGTAAAGCTCAATATAGCTCAGTTTATTGAAGTTAAAGGGCCACATTTTTCTGAAATAAAAGTTTTTTGCAGCATGTAAACACTGGAAGTTTCAAAATACATCATAAATAGGTGGGGCTAAAATGCTGTAAGCTGAATAGATGCATATATTATGTTATGTGATAACACAGAAACAGTGAGTTCAAATCGGACTGTTTTCACAGCTTAGTTTCCATGTATGGACTGTATGGACCAGGTGAAGGAACAGTACAGTTTGAAACTTTTCTAGTTTTTACATGCTACATCAAACTCTTTTATTTAAAAAAAATGGTTTAAAGTAGGGCAAGGCTTCATGTTTACCATT